GGGGATTAGGATAGAACGAGCGGTAGCCTATAGAGGTGGGTTGATGCTGGTCACATGGGACGTTCTCTTACATTGAGAGGCAGTTATAGTACCACCGTCTAATGCTTCGAAGTACAGTATACTCCGAAGAAATATCAAATAGGCCGTTCCTCAATATCTTTAACGGATTAAACGGTTTACAGTGGAGTTAATTGGCGCAAGTTAATTAATAAGAAAGCTCGGCGATACAATAAAAAGGCAGTGAATGGGAATTAGTTAAAACGAATATAATGCGATCGTGGCCTGATATTACTATACATCTGATCAAAATTCTCGTGAAAAATTTGATTTGCTTTGCCGATCGCCTTATAAATTTTAATTTTGTCTGATAATAATGGATCGCAAAAAGGGTTATTTTGACCCTCAAATTGCAATGCGACACCGCTTAACCATACATCACCTGGTAAACAGTGGCGGAGTCAGGTTTTCGTCCGAGGGGGTTGGGTGCAAAATATCTGAGAATGCCCGAATTTCGAAACTAGTGAAGAGATTTTTGCCCGAATAACTTGATTTTCCCGGTCGCCACTGTTGGTAATCTCGCGAGGAGATAAAACTTGATGTAATATCTATTATTTCGTACTAACCTTATTGACAACTTAGCGATTTCCTACTTCAATTCGAACCTATTAATATGCCATTTATTGTTTTAAAAAATTAAAATTATGTGTTATTTACTAAAAAAAAAAGCTTTTTCGTGCTTTATTTCATGAACATAATGTGTGAATGTGTTATATCTCTTGCAGGTGATAAATGCTATTTGAAGAAATTGTAGAATTATAGCAATGGAGATAGAAACAGAAGATTTGTTAAGAGGGAGATTTACTGAAGACAGTAAACCATCCAATCCAATTAGAGTTGTTCGAATTTATATCGCTTCAAATGGATCAGGTGATCATACTTTTAATAGCCTGAATATTCCCTTTACCAGCTTATAAAACTTTTCAGAGTTCTGTATCACTTTGTCATAAGGAAAATCGTGTCTTAAAGGAATGTAAATATGTTTTCTAGCCTTTTTAAAGTTTATCAGGGACACCTTTGACTTCTATTGGGGACATTCCAATTCTTCGTCCGATGCGTGTGGTTCCTACAATACCAGAAAGAGTTAACCGGAAATAACACAGCCTTTATTACTGGACTAACTTGATGTACCAGATGATCGCCTCGCTGTATCCGAATCCGGCCATTATATCAAAAATAAGGATATAACGTTATTTAGGTAGAAATGCCACCATCTTGTAAGGGGAGATAAGATATATTATAATGTTATTGTGGTCTGATGGTAGGTTGGTAACGAATTCACCTGTGAGAGCTGGAATGCGGAATGTTCCCATTTAACAGGGCTTATTATTTCTGTCTCTACACCAGCTGACATCTGTCCAAATAGCTATCAGAGACTGGAATAGAGAAATATTTTTCGGTCTAATTCCATCCTACCACGTGATTTTCAAATGTCTGTAACTTTGGAATGCTCATTAGCTTAGTAAGCTTGAATTTCAAAAATAAAGCTGACATTTTTTCGCTGATTTGTTGATATAACCTTGTGTAAGTCTAGTTTCCCCCATGATATTTGAGGTAATTCTATTTGCCCTTTTAGTTAAAATCCTTCCAAAAACACACAAGATGCGGTAGTCCACTGGTTTTCACTTTCTTTTCCTTTGCATTACAGAGTTGCATTAACATCCAAATTTATTTTAATTGATGTAATATCATATAAGTAATATGTAATAATATAATATTGACCAACTTCTGTAACACAATCATTATTTTATAGATTCCATTACTGAGAGAACAGCCTTTATACAACATGTCTATCCACCATTACGAGAATATTGTAGACAAGAATATGGTGTAGAATTTCAGGTAACAGCTGCCACGTGATTCTTTCAAAGCCCCAAAATGTGAACCATTAATATGGACTTTGGGGTTGATTTCAAAGTGGGTGGACATCAAAGTAGATTTGATTTCAAAGTTGGGTTGATTTCAAAGTAGATTTGATTTCAAAGTTGGGTTGATTTCAAAGTAGATTTGATTCAAAGTTGGGTTGATTTTAAAGTTGGGTTTGATGTTAAAGTGGATTGGATCTGGAGTGGGGTGGATTTCACTTGTTTATCATTGATTTGAATAAACTCTTCATGAATTCTATATCCAACACTTTCAGGTTGTAGATTTAGCATGGGGTTTGTCCCAACAGGAATGTTTCCCAAGCAGTCTACAGAAACGAGAGATTGGAAAATGCCAAACAATGTCATCTGGCCCTTCACTAATTGTAAGTTATGCTATTTTGTTTTTTTGGATTTTATAGAAAAATGTACAGCGTCGAAAATGCAGTCCATTGCTTTTCCTTTGCTTTGCTATTACAAATCTAATTTTTTAAAACTACGTCAGTAAAAGTTTCCACAGCTCACGGTCGAAATTTGAGTCTTCAAATCCAAGTGTGCTCAGAATTATCCGCGTTTGAATGTTAAAATTACGACTCGTCATTTTAAGATACTTTGTGATATAGAAAAGACATCTATAGTAATACTAATAGTGAGTTTGAGATATTTTTGAAGGAATTGTGTAATTTTAGTACATTTCTAGTATTTCTGAAAGCTATTTACACATTTTCAAAACTCAAATCAACCTCCCAGAATGGTACACCTTCCGCTTTAACATCCAAGTTAATGTTAAAATTATTTTATATTATATTAATGATATGACGACATTTTATTTTCGTTCAGATTTTTCTGGGCCAGAAGTACGGAAGCCCAGAGTTACCAATATCAATCCCTGCTGAGGAGTTCGAATCTTATAAAGAAATATTAATCCAAAGTAAAAGTCGAGACACCAGAACAGTGTATTTATTGGATGATTGGTTTGTTAAAGATTATAATAATCTACCTCCAGTATATGTTTATAAAGAACCACCTGATTATTTCAGTCGAGACAATAGCAAGGTAGGCGAAGACTTCACAACTTCTAATATCCCATATTATTTGTTTTATGAGATCGTTCAATGTCATTCAGTTTCAAAGAGTTTTATTTTGCACTCACTGTGGTATAAGATCAGCATTAGACCGAAACAAAATTAGGTTAATATAATTCTACAAATCGTTGATTAAACAATCACCTGTTTTTACTTTTTTTTTCAGACTACATTATTGAATGGACAAAATATTCCCAAAACAGTGGAAGAAGTCAAATCTGAAATTTTGCGACTACTAGAGAAAGCAAGAAATCTAATGAACGGAGATCTAACCGGCCAGTCCCCACGATTCCAAGTTTCCCCGTTGGAGAAAAACGTCGATTTAGCTCTAAAGAAATGCAAGAAACCCGAGGATGGATGTATCCTGATAACTAGGAACATTATTGACCTGCACAATTACGTGGAAGAAGACATCACTTCAAATTTTGTGGAGTTATTTTATGATGAAAACGAAGAAGAACTAAGACCGTGTGAGGAATCCAGAATGAGACTAGAGTCAGTGGAACTCAAGGCACGAAATGTACTACCTAAAGAAAATATTATATCTAAAGATGTTTTATGGAGGTACAACGAAGTCATCAGTCCAAAGCTTCATCACGAATATCTCCATGAATTGTGTGAAGATCTCAAGGACCTGCTAAAGGTAAGTTTCAATAATATATAGCACATCATCGGACGATTTTGTGATTCGACCAATTACTAGCCATTAGACGGTAGTTGAACAGATGTATTTTTCATTTGAATCTAGATAGCAACCATAAATTATATTTAGAAAAAGATAATTTTCCTTATTTTCCTAGTATTTTGATTAGAACTTGCAATGGGTTAATTCTTTTATTTTGAATTTCAGATTCAAATTGATTCAATGGCTCCTAAAGTAGCAAGAAAATCATCCGATAATTATGATTTGATAGATGAAGTTTCAAGACATTGGACCAAATGTTATGATGTAGCTAGTCGATTTTACGGTCGGCGAGATTTAGTGGCTAAAATTCACAGCTATCTTCAGAATAGCACTGACTGTTGCCTACTACTTCATGGATCATCTGGCAGTGGAAAAACTAAGTTGATTTCTAAACTAGCAACGGAGGTAAGTTTACTTTCTGCCATATTCTCCTAGTACTTCAAGTTATATTAATCTGAGTTGGTCCATATCATAGTTGTTCATAATAATGAATCATTTTGTCATTTAAGCATATGTTGTGCGTCACTTGCGAGTCTCTAAAGCGTGCGTATAGATCTGTAACGATTGAATAACTATAATAGTTACAGAGTCCAAAATGTCATAGAATGCAAACAACTGCAGATAACCTTTATCTAAGTACAAGAAAGAACACAATAGTTACGTCAGAAATCAAATAATACGCGATCTAATCTCGGCATGCGATAGTTGGTGATCATGAAAATTTTAAACCAAAAAGCATTTTGTACGATAAACCTGGAATGATCACTGTCAAGAGGATTGTCTATGGACAAAAAAGAGTGAGAAAATTTGTTATCTATGTAGTAAACTTGCTCTTTTATTTATCTTAATATATGGGTTCCTATTTGTATTTTTCAGACAAATAATTTGCTTGGGTACAACACAATAACTGTTGTTCGTTTTATTGGTTATTCAGTTAACAGTTCTACAGCTCGCCAACTTCTCTATAGCATTGCCTCACAGATATGTCTAGCACTTGGGCTCGAAGACTCTAAAATCCCAGATGAAATCAAGGCAGTTCAAAGGTATCTCCATAACCTTATTTCAAATTTTCCTGCGAAGGAGAATTTGGTAATATATCTTGATGCTCTTGAGCAGCTTTATTCAGAAACGGAAGAAATCTTCTCCTGGTTGCCTGAAATATTACCAAGAAATGTCAAGATCATTATTTCAAGTCACTCCAGATCACATCACCTACCAACACTCCATGAAATAAGCAGCAGCGTCGAAATTTCTAATCTTAATTTGGATGAATGTGTTGTTCTCCTTACCCATTTCCTCAGCAGGTGGAATAGAACTATCACCCCCAAACAGATGATGATGGTCAGATACGTCTTTAATAAGTGTTCTGCTCCAATATTTGTCAAGCTGCTCGCAAGTGAACTAAAATCTGTGGCATCATATGACGAGATAGATATCCTGAAACTTCCTATTGATATTTCGGATGGAATGGATGTTCTTCTTACCAAACTCGAGGAGAAACACGGGAAAACCTTTGTTGGCAAATGCCTCGGATCCATTGCAGCTTCTAAATCCGGTCTAAGTGACTGTGAGATCAATGATATTTTATCATTAGAGGAATCAGTGTTGAATGAAATTTATACTGAATATCAACCTCCATTAAGAAGAGTAACTCCAGCCCATTGGTTGTATCTGAAGGAGAGTCTAGAAGGGTTTATCTGTAGTTTTGATTCTGATGGGGTACAAGTAAACATGCTTAAACACGATGGCTTGATTCAGATCATAACAGACCGATATCTAAGAAGAGATAAATCGAAAACACTGCTGCATTCAGTCCTAGCTGATTACTTCTTGGGAACTTGGTCAGATGGTCCCAAGCCCGTAGAGACTGATTCAAGTACAGTCTTTCCAAACAAAACAGCCGAAAGATATGTAATATCTCAGCCTCTGTCGTATAAATCAAATGGTATAACTCGGTTTAATACCAGGAAATATGACCAACTTCCCCGTCATTTGAAAGGTGCAGAACGGTTGCAAGAAATGAATCGTATTGTTTTCTTTAACTATGATTGGTTATACACTAAGATGAAGGCTTTATCATTGGAACACATTCTTGAGGACTTCGTTTTGAATCCTAGTGAAGAAGCGTCACTAGTCCAAGAAGCTTTGAGACAAGCACAACCAACCATAGAAGATAACATTGATAATCTAGGATCAGAGATCATCGGGAGACTGTTACCATACTACTTTGATCACGACAATATTCGAGCTTTGATTAAGCAGTGTGAGCTCAACGGAATTGCTAATTCCTGCTTTATACCCAATTTACCATATTTCAATACTCCTGGATCGGCATTAAAGGCAACAATTTCTTGTCCAACTGTGCCTGAATGTCTGACTTTGATTAATTCAGATAAACTATTGATCTGTAAGAAAAGGGAAGACTGCTATGTGTATGTATTTGATGTAGCATCTGGCAAGTTAAAAGATCGAGTCTTCACATCTAATGGTGATCTATACGCAACTCCAGATGGTGAACTTCTTGTGATATTCGACCATATCACCGAAGCTGCTATCAAAGTTCACGAAACATCGACAGGGAATTTCTGTGGGCAGATCATTACAACCGCATGTATTGAAGACTTTGATGGAGGCACTATCGGAAAAATTAAATTATCTAATGATATGCTCTGTACCTATATATCAACCAAAAAATCGTATTCTTATTTATGCATTGCTGATCTCAAAAGCTTAAAAATGGACAAGATAATAAAACTCGAAGGGAAAACTACCTTTTGTGAAATCTCACCAGATTTAAGATTCGTGTTTTGTAACTCGGATGACTATATTCATTGCTTTGATTTAAAAACTTATTTAGAAAATTTTAAGACTCAATTTGAATTTCGTCCACGGTCTATAAGGGTTTCGAATGATATGACGTTCTTGTATGCTTGTGGTTCACAACAAACTACCGTTGTTTGTATGAACTTGCTAGATTTCGGGATGATGCCCGTTGCAAAACTCAACGTGGAAGATGAGACCAATGGTGCTCCAGTGGAAGATTTTAGGATTTCTAACGATGACTCATGGGTACTAGTAAGAAGTAGAAATGTAATATTAGTATATGACAGTGCCCTTTTTAAACTACAATGTAGATTTGTCCGTCCTAATGAAATACCTAATGAATTCAAACTACCCAAAGGGCAATACCACAGCATGTACTTTAATGATGCTCAGTTCAGTTATGACAGTCGATTTGTTTTGTGTACTATATTCCGGATAGTTTATATTTGGAGTCTAGATGGGTCAATTGCTACCACTATTTCAGCACCAGTTGGTGTTATATCGTCACTTATGGTTTGCAAAGGAACTAAACAGTTTATAACCCATTCAGAACATCTACCAGAAATACAAGTTTGGGACATATCGTCTGCAACCAAGAAAGCTATAACCACCGACCGTTTAACCAGTAACGTGAAGAAAATAGAAGTAAACATTGACAACAGTTTGATCTTTATCCAATGTTATAAAAGTGACGAGCTTGGCATAATTGATATGAAGACTGGCACAATGATAGATCTTCTTACTCATGGACAAAACATTAAGGACTTCGCCATTACTCCAAGTGGAAAGTATGTACTGGTGACTATGGATCCAAGGGTGTCAAATTCTTCTGTTAGTATCTGGGATACAAAACGTCGTAAGATTATACGTGAGTTTGGTAATACGGTGGTTCGATGTCTACCTTGTCACCAAAATGAGATGTTCTATTTCATTGCTCAAGACGTTTTAGCCTATGATGCACCTTATTATGTCCATTCGGTAGCTGTGAAGGATAATTGCATCCAGGAACAGAAGCATCAACGTGCTTTAAAATATCTATTGGATTCCCCTTTCATAACTTCGAATGATAGCTACCTCGTAACTTTATCAGCGGAAAGCTACAAGGAGGATTCTGCAGAGTATATTAACATTGCTTTGTGTATATTTTGTTTGGATTCCGCTTTTCAACTAATCTGCCATTCGCCGGAGACCATACCAGGTAAACACAACATAGGATCAATTGTAACCGTCAAACCGTGTCACAGCTTGGAAGATACCATAGCAATATTTTACCAACCAAAAGAGTCGTCTTGCACTACATTAGGTTCGCAGTACACCACGAAAGATATTGAAATAGGTATTTGCTTGTTTGACATCCAGAATGAAACTATCACCAATGTGTTTGATCCTCTACAGTGCACTGTCAACAAAAGTATGATTTCAAAGCAAGTATTCTCAGACGATTTCTCACTCTGCCTTACAGACGCTGGAACATTGGTAAACCTATCATCACGAAGGGAGGTGTGTCTTCGATCGTTTTCGGATCAACGGCTGTTGGCGGTACAAAATTCAGTGGTAATTTATTGTAAAGGATCCCTACTTTACGCATATAGAATCTCAGATAAGACAATAATTGGTATATGTGAGGTACATTCGCCAATCTGTTATCTTAAACTCTGTTCGGATGACCATACTGTTCTCGTTGGATGTGCTGACGGGGTCGTAACAGCGTATACAGTAGTCAATGATCAAATTGATTGTCCAAAGGAAATTATCTCGAAAATAAAAGGCCGACAGTCAGATGAAAGAAATGCAACTCCCGATGAAGTTTCCAAATCATGGGATAATTTTGACAAAGGCCACGACGTTATCTTCCGTCGACCTCCCTCTGCTAGAGGTCAAGGTCCTAAAGATAAGATTCATTTGAGAAAAATTGAACCAGTACAACAGAGACCCGCATCAGCAGCTTCTACCTACTCGTCCTATTCAGTAACGCAATCTAGAGCATGTAGTATCTTGTAAGTTCGACTGTCACGCACTCCTGCATATAAAGCTAATGTGTGTGTGGGCTACTATCTCGACTAGGACTCGAAAGGGTAATATTGATTGCCATTCCACGAAACAGGAAAAGTGGAAACATGAATTTTGTTCGTTATGGAAAGGCCAAATCAGTCTGTTCGTAATAACTTATAAATGTTCTATTTTTTAGACAATTCTTAGTAGATTAGTCATTTTATTTCTGTATGTTAAATGTGCTTGTTATTCTTAGATGAGCTATATTTCAAATAGTATACTGAAAAAAAATGTTAATTTGAACTTGAGAAGACTACACATCGCCATAATGATGAAAACTAAAGCTTTTTATATAAGTCATATAATTTGTTAGTATGATATTTTATGTACAAAAATGGTAACAAAAAAACTATTGTCAAGTACAAAGGTATAATAATTAGTATCCCCATTTTTTCAAGATTTACAATCTTTTTTCTCACCCAATTTATTATTATTTATGTACATACTTTAGACATAAATTATTTTACATGAACTTTTAGTGTTGTTCGTAACAGGATTTAATATCTCGAGTATTGTTATTCTACATTTCTACAGGTTTGTACTGAGATCTTTATTACCTCCTGTATTTTCTGAACTGTTTTCCATCACAGTTAATCTATAATATAAAATACCTTCATTTAGTGATATAATAATAGTAATCAATATAAAATTATAAATAACCTTAATAGCTGGACAGTTATGTTCGATCGCGATATCGACACGAAACGTGTGAATATTACTTAGTAATGTATCTTAATTACTTAACCAATTTTCAGAACGATCAGACACCCCATACTATGTTAAATCAATCGCTAAAGGGATGACACGATGCTCCTATTGCTGCATCGCACCCCGATGACTTCCAATCGCGATATCGACACGAAATGTGGCAATCTGATTACTTGATTACTCACAGTGATTGATTTAACATAGTATGGGGTGACCGATCTGTCTGAAAATTGCTGTGAGTAATCAAGACATATTACTTAGTAACATTGCCACGTTTTGTGTCGATATCGTAGTGCGATGCAGCAAAAGAGGCATCGTGCCATGACTTTAGCGATTGATTTAACATAGCCGGGGTTGTCTGCTTGTTCTGAGAACTGTTGTGAGACACACTACTAAGTAATATTGCCACATTTCGTGTCGAAATCGCGATCGGAAGTGATCGGGGTGCGATACAGCAATAGGGGCATATTGGCATGACTTGAGCGATTGATTTAACATAGTACGGGGTGGGGTGTCTGGTCGTTCTGAAAATTGTTGTCAGTAATGAGAATGAATGAATGCATTTAAGCGTCAAACGGTAAGTTTTATGACAATTTTGAGAGCTCAAACGAAATTGATTGCGGCAACAGTCGTTACACCGATTTGAAAAATTGACAATTTGGTCGAAATGACTCGAGACTAAATTATTTGGCAAAACAAGTACAAAAGAGTTATTTCCCCCTACCATTTCGCTGTAATATTGCTCATCGTTGTAAGATATCTACATTAGTCCAGAATAAACTATAAGGGTAATCACGGGGGGTAGCCTTCAACGTGAAATCGTCATATAAGGGAAATCACGGGTGGTAGCCTTTAATCTGTAATCTTTAACACCTTTAAATTAACATCGGTGTGGTGGTTATGTAAGTCAGTAGAAACAGAACGTAATATACACAGGAGACCTTTCCCATGTCGGCATGGAAGGAGACACTGAGAGATTAAGAAACTATAGGGGTAAAGAAAAGGAATCGGTCAGGCATGGCAATTAGGATTAAGGAACAGCAAGGGACCTTTACACAAAAGAAATATGTCATATGTTGGCCATTTGGTGGGAGAGATAAATAGGAGTGTAGTTAGGGTTTGGGGTATTCATTCTTTAGCTGGGGAGAGAATCAGATCGTTTAAATATTCTAAGAGTCTTGGGTATACTTCTTGGATTAGTGTAGATCTCCAGTTATTGAATGTAAATAAATTATAGTTGATATAGACGAGTATTTCTTATCCTGCACCCTGTTTGTAGAGCCCAAAAACAAGAAGAACGCGTCTACGATAAACCCGTTTATAGACTCGTTTACAGTTTTCAAGTAGAACCCGACAAAGTAACTTGTCTACATCGCCATTATCGGGAAAAATTTCAAAATTTTAGATGGGAGGAAGCGTTGGAATTGTCTGATATTTGCTGTGAATATTCAGGACACATACGTACCTCTCTGCCAAATTTCACATCGATAGTTCTACGGGAAGGCTAGGGGGCAAAACAGCAACAGTATCAATCACGTTTCAGAATCAGAATGTTCCGAAGGACAAAAATATTATCGATTTGACTTACACTTGTTCATCAGTTAAGGTTAATGACGTGTCTTCTGGTTGCCCTATAGTATTCACTTCAGCACTGACGTTTATTTTTGTATCATCGTCCGGTTTTGTCACGTTATTAGATGCAGCTTCCGTCCGGTCTGCCGCACTTGCGTTCGAATCTTTGTCTAAAATATAAATGAGCTGTGCTTGATACTGATACTTTGAAACTTTAAGATAGCTTGCCATTGCAGGGTAATGTAAGCCCACTGGCAGCTTTGATTTTCAATAAAAAAATCGAATCTTCGATCAACTTGTCGATTGTAGTTGCCCTTGATCAAAAAATTTTTAAGCTGAGCATTTCGATCATATCGACTGTTACATATTCGAATTGATGCTTTGAATCACTTGTCGATCTGAGTCTACTCAATGAGGATCGATACTGAAAGATACAAAAAATGTGCCTACCAGTATTCTTTTCTTTAAGTTCTTTGTGTTTCTTATCATTGGACTTTTCCGACTTTTTCTTATCCCCTTTCTTTTTAAGTTCTTCGTTATCATTAAATACCGGATTAGATCGACCTTGTGGACGTCTTTGTAACGTAGCTGCTTCGGTATCAACCCAGCCATTTGTATTTTCCTTATTTGTTTCGCTATCGGTAATGAACGATGTTATTCGAATGCAACCATCAGTTTTGTTGACGTCTTTTGGTTCTTCTGGTGACGATACCGAGGTTGCTGCACCATAACTTCCGGCTCTGGACCTAAAAAAAGGCTATTGAATAAGAAGACAGACCTGATCTGAATCCGATCTTACATTATTAAGAAGCTGCTTGCGCAAATGGCTGTGTTCAGATCCAACAAATATATTTTTCTCTTTGTTTGTATTCTATGATATTTTCATACTAAAAAATATCTTCAATCTTTTTTTTTATGAACTTGTGCTAGATTAGCCCAAGTCGAAAAGTTATTTATCTGTAAAGCTGATATTTTTTAGAATCATAATTAAAAAGTGTATATTATTTAAGGAATAAGTTACACATGCATCGCTTGGACACCAGTCAATACTAACTGAATCGTAAACCATGGGGGATGAAACGAAGCCACCCTTTCTGAACGTGAAACGATTTTTGTGCCTCTATCAGATTAGGTCATCATCTTCTCAATGGTCAAGCTAGCGTACAATCCGAAAAACTCGCTGTATTAACACAAGAAAAGTTGCTATTGTAGTCGGAATGTAAGGCGAATTGCATAATAGCTTGATCGTCTAACACCAGTTTCGTATATCTTTTCCCGGGAAAAGTTGGTATGTCTCTACTTCGCTTTACACATTTCTCCCCACAGCAAAAAGACAGAAATGTAAAAACTTACTTTTTTCTTTCCTTCACTAATGAGTATATGACCATAGCGAAGAAAACTATTATCAATAATATAACCACTACTATAACACCTATTAACCATTCAGGTAAATTAGACGATTCTGATCCCGCTCTACCACCATTCTGAAAATATAGTTTATGGAATAGTCATTGATATATCTATATTTACTTTACCACCTCTTGTCCCAGGCCAATCGTGACTATCAAAATCATATTTAGAGTTAAAGCGGATGTCTGATAAATAAAAAAGTTTTTCAGGAATTGAGACTAAATCACAGCCACTTTGTCATTGTTAGGATATTTTTGAATAACGGAAATGACGACAGTTTAAACTTCCACTAACTTATCCTTAAATTAGAGGATGGCGGATTCCAATTCTAAAATAAATGTTGGTAGCAAAACAAGAACCGATAATGCTCATTTATCTCCTTATATTCAATACCATTTGCTTAGACATTATTCCGGGTGTGAGAATGTGTCCTGTAGCTGCAGGAGCAAAAAAGAGGAATATAAGGGTCAAGTGTGTTCAACGGCGGTCTAGAATCTTTGTCTAAAACGTAGCTTAGCACATGGATTCAAAGAAATTTACAAGTTGTCTTGAAGAGCTTGTAAATGTCATTACATGTTCTTCTTTTTCACCACCTTTCTAAAGTCAATTCTTGATGTAGGAAAAAACGAAATGTCTCATTTCGATACAACGATATAAATCCTTCACTTCGCAGGTAAACGGAGAATGGGAAAGATTTTATCCCCCATTATTGACATTGGTGTAAGAACAATGGCAATCACATGTACATTCTTACTAACAAACTTAACGATTATTTTTGAACTCTTCTTCAAATGAGGTCAGAAAAGGTCAGATCAGTCTCACCTTCCATCTTTTTTTCGCCTACCAGGTCAAAGATGACATTTCAAACTAAACTGTCTGCAGAAAGATATAAGTCGGTCTATTTCACATTCACATTTTTGTGTCGTTTTTTTTAAATCATAAAACAGAATAAAGAATTCCAAGAGGAATCTCAAGAAAACAGGAAAACGATACCTATTGGTTGCAAAATTATCAGTATAATGGATATGCATGTTTTCTTAAGAGAAGAAAATAAATATTGTTTATGAAATAATTTAATCCCAACCCAATCCTTTCTGAATGATAAAACTAAAATATCGCGTAGTCCAATGAGGTAATCTGGAAACATACTAAAAGTATCAAATCCCAATTGAGTGTAGGCTATATCCAATTCGATCTTAATATTGAAAACAAGTTTGCACGAAAAAATACTTAATGTATGCCAAATCCATTGAATATATTTATCAAATAAAACCGTCTTAATATATTGAAATTTATCTTGATACGGGTTCAAGTAATGAGAACTATTGACGCAATATCTTTTCCTTTTTTTGCACAAACGAATATTTGAAATGGAACTGTACCGGTGACAATCTAAACGATAATCCAAGTGGTCCATCTTGAAAGTTCATCCTAAAATATCTAATGTGTACCAGATATCGTTTTTAAGATTATAGTTTCTGATATCAACGCCTCTCTAATTCTAGACATTATTTTTGATATTTCCTTATTTTTTACGGAAAACAATGTAAATAAATAAATAAATATTTTACCTTTGTGAAATATGACCCGAGCAATAATAAGAAGTTGACTTATAACAGCATGTTTCTATTATTAGTCACTAACTCGTGTTGGTTTAAACTTATTCTAAAAATTTACCTCAAAATCGAGTGGTTGAGAATCGTAATGAAAAAGTTGTTCTAATTCCTCATATTCAACAGGATCCATGAGAATCACAACAGTATCAAATCTGACACTTTTTCACAGCCAAATTACTAGAAGAATGTTTGATACTTTTTCCTTTTACCAGAGTGATTTACATCATTGAGGTCTGTAAAAAAAGTCCGGCAACTTATGACAAATAACACATCCCCGATTCAAACGACCGAATCACTGTATTTGCATACATGAACGTGGGTAAATACAGACTATTTGCTTTGTTAAACTGTAACCAAGCCAAGGTAGTTTTCAGTTAAATCTGGCTTCGAACTGAAGTCGGCGAATCGACGCATAAACACGTAAAGGTCCAGTTAACTTTTACCTAAAATGTATTTCTAATAAAAGTTACGTACAACTGTTAAATACCGCATACACATGTTGAAAATAAAGAGGTTTAAATGTGATGTTTGTGAAAAAGTTGAAACTAGAGAAAATTAGAGTGAATTTAAACTAATTACTATCTTTACTAGGGGATTATTGAGTGTCAAAGGCGTAAATTAGAAAACAGTTGTAACATTTTAACGTTTATTTACATACAATTGACGTATAAGGATAAAACTATTCATCAGTGATTACCAGTATTTGGAGCTGAATGCCACAGTTTATTGTCTCACACATTGATTATCATAATAGCTAAACTTAAAGGACCTTTGAGTGTGGTCAATATGAGTAGCTTACAACCATTATAATGACGAATGAAAAAAAAAATCAAGAATCAGTTTCAATTAGGTAATTCCTTTAACTTTAAATAACTTTAATTCAATTTTGAATAATTAAAAAAAAAAAAAAAAAAATTCATGCTGTTATCGTTTTCCCACACTCAAAATACATAAAATATTGACCGATTGTCTGTGACAGTGGTAGTTATTTGACCATCCTTTGATAAATCTGAATTTTGTCAGAACAAATAGTGTGTGTGTTTGAAAGAGAATTTGAAACAAAGTCGATATTTTCATAACTCTTGTGTTATAAGTAGTGTGTTGAGTAAGACAATAATTTTGTGTCTGGTTATACGCCCACATCTCTCTGTGGACGTATATTGTCGGCACCCATGTCCGTCCATCGGTTCGTCCGTCCGTCGGTCCGTCCGCCGGCAACGTTTGCTGGTAAACGCTCTAAAAACTAGAGTTTTTGATGGAATCAAATGAAATTCGATATGTGTATACATATTCATAAAACGAAGATCAAGTTCGAATTTTAGCTATTTTCGACCGTTAAAAGCAGAGTTATTGCCCTTGCCCCAGAATCTTGAATATGCTATTACTCTCTTAGTTTTCAACTGATTTTGATGAAACTTAAAATGGATGTTATTGGACCTAAATCGAAAGGTTTAAGAAAGTTTAGTTTGCTTCTAATTAAATTTAAGGCTTTTTCAATATTTAGGCCTCTTACGTCAATTTTGAGGAGTTATCGCCCTTTAACCTCTATACAGAAAGTGCTTCTATCAACATCATTTGCTTGTAAACGCTCTAAAAACTAGGTTTTTTGATGTAATCAAATGAAATTCGGTATGTGTAGACATATTTATAAAACGAAGATCAAGTTCGAATGTAAGCTATTTTCGACCGTAAGAAGCAAAGTTATTGCCCTTGTCCAAAAATCTTTAATATTTACCAACCGCATGCCGCGGTGGGCGTATCTGGCTGTGGTTCACTATCTTTTTGTTATCATCAGTTAATCTATGAACACAGTACGTACATGAAAAGCAAATTACAATTTTGTGTCCTATATTACTAGTCAATCCGTAATGATTAAAACACTATACAGAGTGCAGCGACAATGTTTTGCTTACTAAGGTGGTTTATTCTCATCGTGATACAGGCCGCGGTTTACATGGCGGCAAGATCTTAGATCCCATAATAACAGATAATGGAATTAACGTACCAATTTCTGACTTATTGATAATTTTTTATAGTTGTGGAAATCCGGGATCAATTTAAAGGGAACAGTTCGTCTTTTGTCAATTTTCCCTGATTCGTTGAATGTAGATTTTGAAGCTTGTTACCTTATCAGTTTAGTTGTTTAATGTTCACTGCCTTGTAAATGTTCATCACTAACTATGACAGCCGCACGTCTGACGTGACGTTTGAACACCATTTCTTTCAGGGGGCTTCCTACGATGTAATAGATAAAGGACTATACTTACTTGGTCTTTACTTAGTTCGGATAGATCATCTGATAGTGGTTGATCTTGAGATACAAAAGTTGTTATAATTGGTGGTTCTGTAACTACACCTTGCTCTATTACCAGACTTCCAAAAATATCTGAAATAAGCATAAATAATAAATAAGTAAAGCTTTCTTCGATATTGGTAGCTTAATTGGCAGTTAATTATAAAAGTGTTTCGGAGCAATAACATACCTGGCAGTATTACTGTATATGATAAATTAAAACCAGAATAAACTGTCTCTTCTTCTAATTGTTTCGATGTGAAATGTAACCAAACTTTATCCGAATCTAATGTAACATTCAATGCTTTTGTAAGGTTTCCGGAGTAAGTTTCGAATGGTCCTTCAAATACATCCTCTCCTAGAAGTACAACAAATAAATAAATGAAACGCCGTTATTAGTGCTTTGATTTCAACAAGAATTTGTGGAAAATGAAATCTAAACGATATCAAGACGTTTGGTCTTTTTTCCTAACTATTTTGCGCCTTAATGCTCAGTTGAGGAGTGCATTGATGGGCACAGTATGGCGATAATAGTATCTCTTTCTAATGGATATTGTGACCCTGTTAAATGGGAATTTCTCACACCTACGAAGATGCGTTTTTTGCCTAAAATAGTATTAAATTACCTTTACAATGACGGTAAATTAGTGTTGGGAATCACCGTAATTTTCGTTTCGTAAATATCGTGTGACTCGACCCGGCATGACATAAAAAAGGGTGTAGGGAGGAAATGATGGTATGACTGAACTACAAAAATATTCATATTACCAAAGCTATCTGATTTTTTGTAGATCCGAGGTATCTAAATAAGTTTAAAACCCCCGCACCTGCGAAGATGCGGAAACAGGGCTTACTTTTTCTGTCTCTACACCAGTCGACCTCTGTCCAAATAGCTATGGTTGTTATTCGAAACTTACATTATCTTGGGCCGTAATTGTGAATGCATTCCTACCTTTTCCAACTAAAAGAAAATCTCTGTCATCCTGAACTAAGAAATCATGTACAATAAGCTGTATTTTAGACATTGGAGGAGCTAGAATTCGCCAGGAACATTCACTATTGATGGGATATGGGTTAGGATAGTTAACTGACGTTATGGTACCATGTTCACTCGTAAATACTTCATTATTGAATCGGCATATTTCTGAAGAAAAAGTAAATTTCATGAGAGTTTCAACTTACTTTAGGTTACCTCGGATGAACACACAGTTACAAGTCCGTTTTTCGGATTAAAATTAATCTTTAAAATAGTGTTATGCGACTAATAAGAAGAGTGGGCTTAATCTAGTATGACTGTGATGAGAATCTCGGCATATTCAAGCAAGATTAGTTTTTCACAGTACCAAACTATTCCAGATATGAAAACATTATGTTAAGTTAGAATAGGTAGAAAAGTGATAATATTATATGTATCAATGTCAATAAAGTGTAGGTTACCTTATTCTACCTTAAAGACACACTATGTTATTTGCCTTCTGAAAGGTTCAAAGATGTATAAAATTGTAATTTTATAACTTACCTTGTAAAATAACCTCAAAATAAATCAGAAAACCTTTAGCTGAAACACTGTCATCAGATTGAAAATTGATCCACATTGAGTTAGATGGAATGATAGTTTCTTTCTCTTCCTCAAGGTGCCCAAACAATGTCAGTACTTTAGAAGACTGGACATCCGGAAGTAAACCGATACCAATAGTGACTTGATCATATATCTCGGTATATAAACTTTTTATTACAATCTTTATCACAGAATTAGCTGGAGCGTTTATAGTCCACGAACACACCTGAAAAGAATCAATCTAATTCAAATGCGCGTTTGAGTGTTCCGTTCCCTGTTGTTCTCCACTTACCATCCATGATCTGACGAGATTGTTATGTATCCCATAAAGCTTTTTTAAGAAGAATGTTGTCAGATCATGGATGGAAACATACAGATCAGTTTGTTAATCAGACTTCTAAAAGTGTTAGTGATAAAGCCAGTCAGATGTGATGATGCACATGCTACAAAGATCATTGGCCTTGATTAAGATACTAGCTGTACAGTAATGGCTCTTTTTTTCTCTTTTTTAGTAGGTCGAAAATTAAGATAAATGTAACATATCCATAAGTATAACTATTTAAATTATAACGTAAGGTTTTAAAGTTTGTTATGCTTTTTGATAACTATACTGTACGCATGTGAGTAAAATAAACGCCTAATTGTAGAGAAATTTGGTTTGATCAAGAAGATACATAGCATACTTTAGAAATATTTTAAGGTATTATTTAGGATGATTTTAATAATGAAAACATTTTACAAAAAAGCGGAATACCTCTTTGAGCCTTCCTCCCTGTAAATAGTACATTTCGAGATTATAAGAGCTATAAACAGATGTATCCATTGTAGGAACATCCACGCTGTCCTATTGACATTGCAGGTGGAGAATGATTTTTCTGCATTTAACCTTATAGGTCATCTCGATCTGTGATCCGAACTTGCTTCACTTAAAACTAGTCTTTGGCAGATCAATTGGCCTATCTCTGTGAATAAAATAGCAACGATAAGATTTAATAATGACTAACCTCGCTGTTAGAATAGTTAGAGAAGGGATATCCTGGTGAAATCAAATTTCCTTGTAGTTTCTTAACTTCTCCACCGCAAGTTGAATTTTCTTGTCTTGGAAATGTTGCTTCTAATAAAGGTGACATTTATTTAAAAAAAAGTATTGATACAGTGATATTTCATATTTTCCAAAGTTTCGAATATCTTAGTATGTCAAAGAAATGGTAATAAATTCCCTAAATCTGCGTGTGTTAAAATTCAGACTCATGCGTAAATAGACTAATACTTTTATGCTCATCGATTTCAACTACCAAGCTCTATCAGTATCACTAGTCATTGTGTTTAAGGACATTATTTTATGTGAAGTTACTTACCTTCACTAGTTTCAGTAAACATGATTGCTATTTGAGCATTCGAATTGACGTGGTCATATTTTAATGTCAGCCATATCTCTGTTCCGTTGAAAATAATATCTCGAGGTATCTTGGTCCCTGTTATTCGTCTCATTTTAGTAGCACCGCCCATTCCAACAGATAACTGCAGATATTCCTTCTCCAGATTTAAAGACAAACTATTGAACCGGATCTTGACGTTAGGTCCCATTGGCACACGAATTCTCCAACGACATACAGAGAGAGTAAAATTGTCCAAATTTGATTTGTACATTAGAAAGGGATTAGGGAAGATAATATCACCAGATGGTTTCGTTAGATCATGAACACAATCATTAGTTACAGATTCGGTTAAAAGTGTCGCCATGTCTTTGAAATATGTAGCAGAACTCGTTGCAACAGTCGTCATAGAGTTATCGTTCTTGGCAATACTTCCTTTCACAACGATAGTGTCAATAATCTGAGTTGACTCAATGAGTTGAGGATATCCATACCTTCTTGAGGGGACACTGGATGTTATTGGTGAATCTGCTAGCTTAGAAAAGTGAGATTGTTTTTGTCTTTGATATGGAAACTGCGTGTTTGTTTTATTAGAAACTGTTTCTGCAGTTGATGTCGGGAATAATGGTTTTAGTTTCGATGTTGACCTGTTTTTTACGCTCAACTGAAAATGTGGGCGAGGTTTCACTGTAGATCTTCTACGTTCTGCTGAAACAACCAAAACGTTTTGCTTATTCATAGTAAATGTCTTATTACTTACTGTACTTAAATCTACTTATAATCTTTGGATATTGTCCTGTCGTTATGATAGGATAAAAATAGGTTTGGTACAGCTTATGTTTCGACAGATAGAATTGGAAAAGAACTTGATCAATTTTGACAACAAAAATTGTTTAAACAAATACCTGCTAATAAGGAATTTAGCAGTTTTTAACAAAACTAACTTTTAAATCATACATAATTTTCGATTCAGTCATATGGAAATAAAAGTTTTGAAATGAACAAATAAAGCATTATGTTGATCTTCATTGATTAGGCTAACCAAATTCCTGTGGCTAAACGGGTGGACAATTAGTTTGTTTGTTTTATTTCGCCTCACTTTAAACATTTTAAAAATACAATGGCCTGCAATGTTCTCTTCAAAAAATAACCGTAACCAACTGTGGTAAAAGACTTGAAGTTCCATTTCGCTGGTACCAACCATTGGACCAAGGCATATGTTGAAATAAAATAATGAATTGATGCACATCAAGCTCTGAAACTTTTATTTTTAGTGCAAATAACATCTGTACGACAAAAATACTTCTTCCATTGCACACTAAGTGCACCATACGGACTAGCGATATAGAAAAAATAGACCTTTATTTAAACCTCATTAATATGTGAGTTTTTGCGAGTATGATCAATACGATTCTGTAGGACTAGACGTTATTAAAGATATATCTCAAGATCTTGTTTACTGGGTTGTACACCACGCTTCTCGGACTTCCATTTATAGAGCCTGAACATTCCTTAGAATATTTTCCTGTGTGAAAAACAGCAACAATGAGATTGCTGAATTTCCCAGACACTATAAATTCAAATAATTTCAATACATGTATATCAGTATGAAATACAATCATGTATGGGAAAATAACGTTTTATACAGGTGTTTATGGTACGCCTTTGTGCCGTCGTACAATATAAATTTCAACACTGCATTGTCTTTATCTCAAGAAAAGATTACTACGTTTCACATTCTTGCTGTCCTATTTTTGAAAAAATAACATTTAGGAAATCAAATCCTGATGTAAGTAAAAAGAATGTTGCCAATCAAAATAAAGGAGGCATTCTTAAAAGCTAATTTTTGAAATAATATTCAACTTATTACATAAACACAAATTTTAAGGCCACATTCACATTTAGTTGTTACTCTTCTAAAGGAAATACCAATACATGTATATCATACAGTCATATTTCACAGAAATTGCAGGGATTCAATTAACTTAAATAGTCAAGCAATCAAATCTGGTAAGATATCAATATAACGTCAGCTGTGTATATACTGAAAAGAATACGTCTGAAATGTTGGCCTTGTTTTATCCCTTTTCATTTCATAACGGAATGAAGTGAAGTCTAGCGCCCTTTGGATTAATTCAAATGATGAATTTGGTTGGTGTAATTACATGATTTTGTATTTAAACAGAAAGTTATTTCGTCCAAATAACCAAAAAGTGTTTCCATGCAAAAACAATAAAATCAGTATACAAACCATAAGATTGTGTAGTGCGTGCTTGAGGATGATGACATAAAAATCCTATAAAATACAAATAATAGATCCTAAATATCATCACTGAAAATATAGATAATCAACATTCGTACACACGTCCTTTATATTATTCTCCGTCTGTCCCCCTGCCTAGTATTTCAAACGCCGCTTGCCATACTATTGAAAGACAAAACGTTTACCAGCATTGTTGGAGAAGATAAAGCCAAAACTAATATTGACGACACAACCGAAACGGATTAAAGCGGAGATGTTAAAGAATATTCCCAGTTGAAACGGATTCCATAAGATTTGAAGATAATCTTTTCTTCTATAGTATTATGCGTTTAAAGGAGCGAATTGTAAGACATATGAGACTTTTTAACGCAGCAAATTTGATATATATCTGAAGTTTTTTGTTGTGAAGTATTACTGCAAATCATCTATACATGAATCATTTAATTTCCAAAACGAAAAGGATCATCAAAGTAAAAATAAAATATTTTTGAATAAAACCTGGTGTAATAGTATATCTGAACTCAACTGGACTTAAAATAGTTAAGGACTTTGTGAATAAATACCATTGCTTACACTGTCTCACCCCTGAATGGAAAAGTTCGAGCCTTTAAGGGCCCTTTAAGTAAAAAAATTCATATCATTTGAGAGACTACGACAGTCAGCACAGTGTCTTTGTGGGTTAGTGAAAGGCAGTTATTCTCACACGGAGTATAATCTAGATAAATACTGTACATCTCTCACTATTTGTTACCATGTTATTATCTTTTGATCGATATATTTCACAATTACTTACTTAATAATGAAATAATAGTTACAACCTTGAACTTTAAAACTCTTTGCTTGTGCCCGAACTTAAGGCTCAGGTAAGTTCATGAGTATGTGCAAAGAAACAAAATAAAAAGATAGCTTGCCAGGCAAGGTAATATACGCCCACTGGCAGCTTTGAATGTAAACAAAATAGTACAGAAACAATCACCAGTATGAAATATTCAACCTTCGGTCTTACAATTCTTTTGAACTTTATGGGCGATACTGTATAATATTACCAAGTTTCGTCAAAACCTGTCATGAATTGGGCTTCCTCGAGTGTTTACAGGCTAAGCTTGAACGCGTTTTTAAGACCTAAATATTTTTCTATTCTTCTGATTTTCGCTAATGGTTCATTCTTGGTTGGTAACAAACATTTACACCAAGTTCCACTAAGTTTCCTCAAAATCCATCAAGAATTGTGCCTTCTGGCGTGTTGTATTGGCTAACAATTGAACGCGTTTTTAAGAACAAGGGCAATAACTCATACTGTTATTGAATGATGTGTGATGAAGCATTTTCAAACTTCAGTCATTTAATGTTGAGCCAATTCTCCACATCACCATCGATGCTCTTTGTTCTATTCTTTTTGTTGGTCGAATGGGTTTTTTTTTCAAATTCGTAAAAATTATAGACCAAAATCTAGAGAAATGTGTCCCTTAAACTAGTAAAATCCAGCCATTAATTTGTTAATGCCAAACCTATTTAAACTATTTTCGTAAACATGTTAAGTTCGTTATGCTTTTTGGTCGGTGTAAGAATACTACGGATTTACGTAAGATACACACTTAATGGTATAGAGAAATATGTGTCCTGTGTGTTCTGAAGTTGCCAACTAATTATATCGATCCATTATATCTATCGTGTCTAGATTGGACAGTGTTTGTGCGGCGTAGAATTGATGTCTATTTTGGCTCCACATGTGTCTGGTAAGCTTGAAAAGTGATGGACGGAAGCTGGTAAATTTCTGATTTCATGAAGCACAAATGTCGCTAATTCATTTGACCCTCTACCACCCTCAGTTTCCTCCCAAAGGCTTACCATTTGCTGCGGCAGAGATTGTCAAATTGTATACTGCATGTTTTCTCTTATCATAAATTTGGGCAGCACCAGCATTGAGTGATTAAGACAGCTTGGTATTTGTCGCCACTCTAATGCTCGAGTCTCGGTTTGTCTCTTGCCTTCTTCGCATCTGCCTTTGCTTTTTGTGCTGCGCTCTCAATTATCACGAAGCGTTACCTTGTCTTCGGCTGAAGCCGAACACAAGTACACTAGTCTTTCATTGGACTCGGTGACAAATACCTTTCTGTAGCGTCTTTCTTTAGCCGGGTTTTCGAAAGAGGTTTCAACAAAGTGTAGTGCGTATAGCCGGTACATTAACATGCTTAACATAGGGTATTTATTGCACATTGATATCCTTGCGGTAATAATGTGGTTCGATGCTAGGGAACCCACTAATGTGGTCTCCGACATGTTGCAACCCCTATTCAAATGTTTTGTTTTTGCGAAACTTTCCCAATGCGTAGATCTTTGCCAATATATGCATCAGATTTCCAGTAAAGCACTAAAGGTTGTTTTGATAACTTTGACTTTATAAGTATATGATTTCTCTTTTCGTTTATTGAAGATCATCATTATGCATTTGTAGTTCAAAAACCCTGAATATCTCATCAATTTAGGGTCAGTTATGCTGAGTTTTTCCACAAATCTCTTGAAATCAATAGCAATAACCTAGAAGCATTGAATTATCACACTCCAATTTTATTCATAAGGTTAACAGCCTAATCTCCATATTGATGACGTATATGATCTTTGAATGGCATTTAGTAAAGTTGTTGGATATAATGAAAAAATTCTTATGGATCACAATTACTGACTTTATTTGAGCGACGTTTCGACCAGTGTTCTCTGGTCTTTATCAAGCAATGAATAATGTTACAAAGATTAAGAAGCATATATAGAGCATATATATAGGTAAAGAGAAAACAACATAACAAAACAAAGGATTAAGAACCCAATTAAAGTATCTAACTTCTAATGTTTGATAAGGTGATCATAGGCTCTGGGAATGAAAACTCCGGGATCTCTGTTGATTGACGGATTATGTCTTCTTATAAACAGACTGAACTTGTACTGTAATTTATGGAAACTTGATGTTAATATTTCTAAAATTAAAATTATGATATTTAAGAAAGGTCGGGCTAATTTAGACACTATTTTTTTAATTATAACGGCTATCCATTAGGAAATGTTAAAACTTTCAGTTATCTAGGGGTTGAATTCTCTAACAATGGTTTGTTCACTTCAACTCAGAAATCTATATCTGTAAAGGGGAGCAAAGGTTTATACCAGTTATTTCATGTTTTTGAAAATGTATATTTAAGTGTAAAACAACAATACAAATTGTTTGATTGTTATATTGGTTTTATTTTAAATTATGCATCTGCTGTTTTGGGTTTTCATGTTGTACCCGATATTGAAAGAGTCTATATTAATTTTTGTAAAAAAAAATTCTTGAGTTAAATCACCTACGCCTTCTATGGGGAGTCTGGGGTCATTCGTTTGTACTTTTAACGCATTGACATAATTTTAAAATATCGGTTAAAAATCATATGAGATAAAAATTCGTTACTGTATTTTATTTATAATGTAACATGTAATAGTTCGTAACAAATTTAAAAGGTGTAATTGGGCTCTATAAAGTCACATGTATGTTAGACTCTTTGGGATTTTCGTCGGACTTGATCAACCAAAGGGAGGTAACCACTGCTTTGAACCCCAAAAAATACAGACGATGAATAATGGACGTTGTTGAGGTCGAGATAATACCTTCGGATTTTTCAACCCGGTTTCCCCCTGTCAGTGATGCAGGTAAGGGGTGCTGACATGGATAAAGCGTCTAGTCGTTCGGATGGGACAATTAACCGTGTGCTACAGGCTTTGCACGTTAAAGATCCCTCGACAGAGTAGACTAATGCCGCTGTCCTGGCAAAATTTCCCTCATTGCACCCTGCATGGCACCCGTCTTCATTAGCCCACACGGTGCAGAAAAGTAGGACGTAAAACTCCATTCATTTCATTTGAATTTGTATATATTACCCTCTGTCATTGCTTGTAAATATGTTTTAGTGGCTATCAGTTTGTAACTTAATGCTTTTGTTAATAAACATTCTATCTATCTCTATCTAATGTGTATTGTATATCAAACGGAGTTAACATATTTTATTTAAATAGATTGAATATTTTCGATTTTTAAACAGTATGAAAATTCAGCCCTACTTTCAACCAAGAGTCCAACTCTTACAAACATCACAATAAACAGCTTGTTGATTCTTCCTTACAGTTTCAAACATAAAACATACTAAATATATATTAAATGAATACACTAGCCAGTATCAATTCAATTTCAAATCTAAAATGATTTTCTGAATATGTGATCATTTTATATAAAATTGATTAGCACTTCAATACGCTACAAACTTCTGTCTTAATTCTTTCATTAAACATCACAAAAAGCTATTATTATAGTCTTTGATAATCACTATACAAGCTATTCATTATAATCATTTTTTACTGGATTCATTTTGACTAATTTTGGTTAAAATCAAATAGTAATCTTAGGGGTCATTTGACTATTGTATTTGGGGCCATTTGGACTAATTTTGACTTTTGGGGCCATTTTCACTTGTGGTCATTTCGGCTAAGTGCAAGTTGACTATATAACCAAAAGTAGCCAGATACAATTTACAGGTGTGCTCCAAGTGCGTTTGAACTGGCACTTAAGGCCTATTGGTAAAATATAAATCTCAAAAACTCAATTTGAAATTTTGGATGAAACATTTGTGTTCTAGCTATACCCTTAAGATATGTAGTTTTTCGAGCTTGGTCAAGTCATATTTCGTTTTGACATGTAGCCTACATTGTTTTTGAAATAAGTACTGTTTATTCCAATTCAATTTAATTCAACTGAGAGTCTTACATTGTCTTTGGGTTGATGACAATGTCAACAACTGGAAAAAAAATACTTTTTTGTGGCACACAATTGAAAATTTTATTTTTAATATATTTATGAAATGAGAGAAAAATATCAATTCAAAGCTCAATGTAGTCAGACAGTAGGCCTAATAGTAATAAGCTACAAAACCGTAGTCACAAAATTAGAGCTCTATTAGATGTTTACTATACAATTTAAATAGGCCAAATCCTACATGTTTACAAAGACCATAGTTATAGTTAAGTCTATAGAGTTTATGTAGGTCTATGTTTTGTAAATTAGGCATTTTGTGTCTACATGAGATTATATGTGTAAGCTCAGTGTGTAAGCCTAACTTGTGTGTAGGCCTAAATGTATACGTACGATTAGTCATTAGGCCTGATTCAGGGGCCAGGGCCTAAAAAAAATCAAAATTTCAGAATTTTAAAAGAAATATGTAATAACTAAATTCAAAAATTATGTCAAAATCCTATCCACAACTTTCATTTTTCATATCATAGTAAAGTTTTGTAATCAACAATATTTCGTTTTGGATTATGTATGTGGCCATATTTTGTAATTTCGATTTACCAGTCTTATTAATGATATGTTCGAAGACTTAAGCGTCTGGACAGAAAAGCCTACCCGGCAATGACAAGATATTTTGAAGAGAAAATAAGATTTCGCATGATCATATCATCTAGAAAGGAGAATAGAATTTATTAATATGACAGCCCTGGATGAAAACGGTATGTGTCATGATAAGGACAAGGAAACATTCCACTTCATTTGCCCCAGAGAATCAAATACTCTGATCACTTACTTGTTGAGATGGCAATTGACATTGTTTTAAAAAAGGGGCATTTTGCATTTTTCAATCGATTTTTTGTAGTAAGGAGCTTGAAATACATCAAACTACATGGCAACATATAGAGGGAGATGCCCCTAACTTTTCGTGAAAGTTAAAACTTAAAATATACAAGTGTTAAGTCACAAACAACTACAAAAGTCTTTGCTGGTTTGGGTTCCAATTCCCCAAGCTCCATTTTTACAGATAGCTACAAGTAGAAGCCGATATTTGATTATGAGAAATCTTTGATTATGAGAAATCAGCCTAATTCTGATTTGACCATTAATTGTTAAAAATCCAATCAGCAGCGAAAGTACTTCCGAAAGTGTAGAGTTGTATGTTCGTAGTTCCGAATACTCAGTCCACGCAAAAATCACTTCATGTATTTTTTTTTTTAACTCAGCAGTTCGAAAATTTGATGTTTTAAATGGTTTCTTTGTCGCCAGGTCAATGTTTACTCAAAAGACATACATATGATATCACGTACAATAAGCCCACCTTACAAGTTTAGATTGGCATAAATTTTGACTATTTCAACTGCTCAGTTTGTTAAGTGGTTGTGCTCTGCCTCTATTCTAGCCTCAATAGCTATTTCACAATTGTTGGCTGGACTAAGGTCAGCAAAAATAGGCCATGCTTTGTGGGGATTTTTCACACCTCTGAAGGTGTTAGAGTTTTAAACCTATTCATTACCACTGATCCACCAAATCCCAGATGTATTTGGAAATGTGTAGTTCAGGCACACATCAATATCTCCCTTACATCATTTATATCACATATGCAGTTGCGTCAAAGTTTTTTTTAACAAAACTAATCTCTCTGCCATTTAAGACTGTGCATATTTTCTTTTTTTCAGCTCTGGTTGAGCGTGTTTTTCTACGTATTGGTTCCGCTGATACTGATGAACAGCTAGAAGTTGCTCTAGGAAAATTTCTCACTCCAATTCTTTTAAAATTAAACAGTTCAGAAGATGGCATTCGAACAAAGGTAACTGAGCTCCAGTGATCTGGTTACTTATAAGAAGCAAAAGTAACTTGTCATTGCCAAGTATGCTGAGCTCTGATTGTTCATTGTTCATTGTATTGAACTATCATTGAGATCAGATTTATGCACCTCAAACATAATATGTTTATTCAATCCAAATATAAACACAGACAATTCCCTTCAATTAATTTTTTTAAATGATAATGAATGCAATATCTGCCGTGTATTATTGCAATGATTATTTGTAATGCCTGAAGCAAAATATTCACATTGACTTATTATGACAAAGTCAGATTACTTTTGTCCTAACACTTTTCCATGATGTAAATATTAGTTGATTAAATTTCTGATACCATTGGTCTGGTGTGCTTCTTTTGTTCTAGGTGATGGAGTTGTTAGTACATATAAATAAAAGATTGAAAAGTCGAAGTAAAGTTCAACTACCAGTAGAATCATTATTGACTCAGTTTCAAGATCCTACAGCTACTCCATTTGTTACAGTATGTTTTACCATATTATATTACCATCATTCTTACTTTATATCAAATTTCCACTATTTAAGGAAATTATGTCTAATTCTAAAGTAGGATAGCTGATAATTGGTCCATACTTGTTTATTATTTTGTTTTCATCTTCACTTCACTTTGAAAAGTATGAAGGTGTCATTTGATCTTTTTTTTCCTCCAGAACTTTACTATTTTGTATATCAAGATGGGGTTTCCTCGGTTAGATCCTGTTAAACAAGCAGAGTTATTGCCCATGTTGATTAATTGTTTAGAGGGTCGACCAAGCAACCAAAAAGACAGGTATTGTTTTTTATAAGGCATTTAATTTATTTTCAGTTGATAAACAGATAGTGGTTGGAATTGTAGAATATTTATGCTATTGATGCAGGCAATGTCATGAGGATTTCTGTCATTCAAATTGATTAGACATTTGGCTAATTTAGTAAAAGTGATTTTTTTTTTGCAAAAGTACTATCTTGTAGACTGTACACTCTAAACTTAAGGATTTTAACTTTTTTTTATCAACAGTTTGCTATTATTAATGATACCAGCTATTCAACATCTGAAATTTCCTTCTGATTTAACAAAGAGAAAGTCTATGTTTCAACTAGCAGATAAACCTGAAATAACTAAGTTATTATTAGATTTTATGATGGATATTTTACTATTAACATACAGGTAGGTCAAATTAATCTTAATTGATAAATCAGCATAAATGTCCCATTGATAAATCAAAATTTCTCAAATCTTGTCAAAAAGTGAGAATTAGATTAAGTTTTACATTTTTTTTTTAGTTCTTTTGACTTCATGCACATTATCTCAGCTATATATATATGGTCAGAGGGTTATATGCATTTGAGGTTTTTTATCATATATTGAGATTTTCAATGGGTTCTTTTTCAGTGCACATGCTTCAGCTCAAGCTGCTAGATCTGGTGGTGGTGCTGGAGGGCGTGGTCCCCCAGTTACAGTTCCTCCTGGTCTCAGTGAAAATTCTCTTAAACGTGTTCTAGGAGAAAATCCTATGACACCAGAAGGTTTAGAAAAGGCAAAGTTAGGAATATTGAATTTTTTAGGAGCTGGAATTCTGTCTGACAATGACCTAGTATGTCATTACATAGTAGCATCATCAGATACAAGACATAGGTATGAATTGTTCAAATTCAATTTCCAGTTTCACCTCATAGAAAGTGTAAGGAAACTTACAAATGGTTCACACTTGTGGAGTGAAGTATTGAAGCAAGTGGATGCTTTTTAATTGTTTAGGAAAGAAAATAAGTGTACTTTTTATATTGTTGAAACGGTTAATCAGTTTACCGATTTCGGGTAGTATTTCACGGGTAACCATCAATTTTATTAGAAGTAAAAAGAGAGCAAGTTTTGTTATTATTTCAATCGGGTACGAGTTGCTTAGAATAAACCAGTTATAAAGATCGTATTACTTTTTATTAACTCTCCTCTAAATGGCTGTTTGTTTCTTCTTGCCTGTCAATCAGCTTCAAGCTTATTAATATTCATGAGTACAGTTTTAGACTCTTTTTATAATCTTTAGTAATTAACCCGGATTAACCGTTTCAACACTATCTTTTTATCAAAATTTTGGCATTAATGAATTAAAATTTGAAAATGTGTTTGAAATATTTTAGTGTTGCAACATCAGCTGATATGGAATTAAAGAGAATAATGGGGTATGTTATCTTTTTGATAATAGGTAGCACTATTGATGAAGAATCCTCTTTTAGATATTCCTTCTAGATTTGCCCATTAACATATTAAGATTTGTGCCATTCTCTTCTTTTAGAAGTATAGATTGGAACAGTAAAGAAATTATTAGTAAATTATATAAGATATTTCAAGGCACTGTTGTATTAAAAGGACAAGTGAGTATAGAAGGTTGTAGACTGTTAGTTATAGCTTTACCTGAAAATATGAAAAAGGTAACAGATCAACACTCTAAAAAGCCTTATTCTAGTGTATTTATAGTACGAGTTGAGAATATGGTTAAATAATCCTAAATTTTCTACAAATGAAATATATATTAGCTTGTAACCTTGGATAACTATTATATGTATAAAATTGTCATCTAACGCAATCTCTCACATTTTGGTCACATAACTTCAGGAGCAAGTTGGATATAGTGGCAAGTATGAATTACAAGGTGATTATTTAAGTGTCAACCCATATTAATCCTCCTAAGCATTGACCTCCCTAGCCTTATGAAAAAATACTATAATTTTAACCATTCATATTGCTTTTATTTGTGTAGACAAACATCAAGCCAGAAGATAGAAGAGTTCCAGTTTGTACCAGAATCAGATTGAAAATTTTCCCATTCTTCTTGAAGTCTAAAGAGGCAGTTGGCATGTTCCCATCTTGTATTCAGGTTAGAAGATAAAAAGAAAATATTTTTGACAAGATGCTAACACCTTTTCCGTCCACTGTGTATTCCAGACACAAATCTACACAAAAGTATGAAAGAGCAGAAACATTGCATATTGTCAGGTATTGCCAACAATCATAAGGTCAATAAACTGGAATAATATTAGACAAAAACATCTATGTTACATGTCATTACAGGTGGTTTTTGATTGTTTATTTGGTACTAATCTGAATGCCAAGTTACGTGTTATGGCTGTGCAGTTTGTACATCATATTTGCTATAAGTAAGTGCATTTCATAGATTGCTCATTTAAATCCTTCGTGTATTGCTATTTTGGGGATTCTAGTTCATCAGGCTATGAAGGTTCTCATTTACCTGCTTTAGGATAGGATATAGGTTTAATCTACAGTCCTACACATTGTTTTGACAACAATCGAAATTATTTGTTTTTTATGGTGTGTTTTTTTAGTGAAATGATAAATTTGAGATTTTAGCTACTGTGTCTTACTGATTATTTTATAATGTTTTTAGCTGTGAAGACAGTAAATTTAAGATGTTTGATGCTGTTCTATTGTCTGGTATGATCAAACTTATTGGAGAGGCCAAAGAGGTTTGTAAATGATCTAATTTTCTCTTATGGCTATTTTTCTTTTATTGTTCCTTACAAACAAACTTTTCTATTCTATATGTCTCTATTCTATATGTCTCTTTTCTATATGTGTTAAGGAAGTGCTAAACCTGCTTCTACTTTTTATGTATAGTCAGTGTATGAGTCAAAAGTCTATCACTTGCTGTACCTGCTACTATGACCAAGGGCAGTTGTTTAATTTGAGAAATCAGTCTACTGCTGTATAGAAATAATATTGAAAAAGTTTTGAAAAACAAGATTAACGAGCACATAAAATCTTCAATTGGTTCACAAAAAGAATTGTTTTTGGCTTTCAACCTTGACTATTGACCTTTGTAAATAGTTTATAATACAATATGCATATGCATAAGTCAAAAAAAGTGTTTTGGGTTTAGGATTTCCTTTTTTTGATTTTACACTTTTTGTTTAAGTTTTTTTTTTTTACCTGCCCCTTTATTTTGTTCTTCTATATTTCTATGGACAAATTTCAGAAAGAGAAATATCACCGCCGGCGCTATCTTTATCAGGCAAGTCTGTATGAGCCCAAAATAACCTCATAGTGTATAAAAAACATCAAACATGGCACCCTAGCTTAAGTACTGAAATATTGTTTGGTATGATATGCATTAACCATCAAAGGGAAATGGTCATCTATATACTTGTTTTTCATTCTAAAAGAGCTATCTTTTTGCTCTGTGTCATTTTTCAGAATTAGAATCTGAGAACTTGTTTTCTTACAATACAAAAAGTAGTATTCTTTATTTATAGCTGATATGATATATTTGTATTTGATAAGTGACTTTATGTTTTTGCTGAATTGCAAGAGAGCTAGATGTAAGATTTCAATCTTGAAAAGTGATATGAGCAGTTAAATTGATCTCTTTAAGCCGATAAAGCAAACAATTAGATGACTCAAACCCTTTAACTGGTCAGATGTCAACAAGAGCAATAGGATATCCAACATGCTTGTTGATGTTCCAATAGTACCCTGTGATTTTGACCTGTTGGGTTAATCAAATGTATCAATCCATGTTGTTAGGTCAGAGGTTAGAAATCAGAGATAAATAGTAACCTTAGTTAATCCTATGGATTAAATCCAGTCCCATCCAGTTTGGTATTACCCCAAACTCTGCTGTCAACCCTTTGAAGAGCTTAGCTATGACATTTTGCCTATGTAGAAATATATAAATTATATTCTAGGTCTGCAAGAATCTTAGTTTAATGGTTATTGTAGACCACCTTTAGATACCAGTATGAAATTTGTGATCTCTTTCTGTAATCTATATCCATAACATCTCGAAGGTCAAAGCTATGGCTACTGTTAGTGATGAATATTTGTAATAATTTTGTGATTTGTGATAGTCTTTAATCTATGATTAATAAAGTGATGAAATCTTTTTTGCTTTCCTGGATGATAGCTCAATTTGTATCCGTTCTCTTTTCAGAATGGGGTCATGTCATTTTGCAAAAATTTCATTATAATAAGAGGGTGAATTTTCAATCCACAAGTACTAAGGAGAGCTGAAATTTAGTCATGAGCTGAGAAAGCAAATATTTAGTTGTCTTTATCCCTCCAATTGATAGCAGTATATTGCTCTCATTTTTTTTAGACATTTGTGTCATGCAATTTGTCTTTAATGTGTTAATTAGTAAAAATAATCTATATGAAATAATGCATGTATATCATGTAATTCTATGAGTTTCATAGTGCTGTATTTAAAAGCAGAGCTGTTACCATTCCACATTCATTTTGTTGTTGTTGGGAATGTGTTAAAATCGTGAAATTGTGGCTTATGAATATGATGTCCTGAGAGACAGGGTTCAGCCCTTGGATAATTTGACATACCCATGCATATGCATGCTATTTGAAATACAAAGATTGCTGTGATACTCCATTCTCATCTTTTTCATCCATGAATGTAGTAGAAAGTGCTCAATGTATATTAAAATATATTTGTGCTGGATTATGTTTTATACTATCACAGTTGTGCATGAAGCATACAAATCTGAGCATATAAATTTTCTTTATTGATGCCATCAATTTGATGTGTCTGCTGATATTAAGTTGTATTGAGAAATGTCTCCATGAAAACATTGGCCTAGATTATGATATTTTGGTCAAGTTCAATAAACAAGGTCTTAATATGAAGAATGAAATATGTACTAGTATCTGTCTATGTCCTGTGTGTGTTCTGTAAAGTTTGTGATATAATATCCCTGCCCCTATAATATTACTCTTTTTCTATTGAAATTAAAGGAAAATACAATTACCTAAATATTACCTTTAACAGCTGAAAGAACTCAATTTTTGCTCTATTTTCTATTGAAATTAAATGAATACAATTTTCTTTCTTTATTAAGTGTAAGATGTCGTCACTAATCGCAAAATTTGATTTATCACATAGGACCCTTCATGATTAGTGATTTCATCAAACACTTAGTTTTAGTGTAATTGCAGGAATGACAGTCTGATTGAAAATTGGACTAGTGCAAATTACTACTATCAGATTCCAATGACTATACAAATATTGAAAATTGAGAAAAGTTCTTTACAATTCCTTTGAAGGGACAGATGCACTATTTTGGGAGGTTGATTTTAAACTTGAATATATGTAAATAGTCTTCAGAAGTACTAGAAATGTACGAAAATCGTATTATTCCTTTAAAAATACTTCAAACTAGGAACTTTACTCACTTCTCCTATATGTCCTTTCTATATATCATCATTTTAACATTCAAGTTCTGGACACACATTGATTTAAAGGTTCAAATTCGATGGTGATTTTTGAACACTATTACTGACTGGCTTAGCTAAAAAATGTCCCGTTTCTGAGACTAAAGTATGAAAATGGCCTACTTGTCCCTTTAAGTCTGAACTATTTGGTCTATTTTGATAGCTGCTAAAATACTTGTAAATAATGGTGAAAGTGACAGAGTGTGATTTTGGTCACTTAAGCATTCTGAAATACCAGCTAGACATGGCATATATCTATATCATATATCTGTACATCTGTACTGTAAACAATCTTTATATTTGTTTTTTATTAGGACAGTAAATTACGTAGTTTAGCCTATGTTGCAGTAGGTAAAATAGCTAGACGATCTCCAGACAGAGTAGCCAAAGATATGACCTTGATACAACAGTTTTTTCAATCAGTCTGTGAGGTAAGATTGTTAGTCTTTTTACATTTGTCCTGTAAATTATGTTGACCATTTCTTTTTGATAAAAAATTTGTATCCCCTAGCTGAAAAAAGCTTTTTATGCAACTATTTCTTACTTTGATCAGAAGACGAACTTCTATTAAAATTAAATCTTTTCTTTTTACTATGATATTGTTTTTACAAAATTTCTAAAATTACAAACTGCATGATGTTGCATTCTTTCAGCAGCAAAATTATATTTAGGAAAGTACAAGTAGGCTGTAAAATTGATTGATTTTCATTTTTTGCAGGAAGATACCGAAACCAGACTAGCAGTTCAAGAAGCACTATCTTTAATGTCAGAAGCCTTTAAAAAATTAGATGAAACCAACCTTAAACTATTGGAAGCTTTGATTATGCAGTATATAGACAAGGTAAAGAATGTGTAAGGTTATATAACTGTACAGGGACATTGTATGACATGTATAACTCTAGTGCTGACAAACCCATTTGCAGAGTGGCACCAGGATGTGAACTTGAAATATCTTCTAATATCACTTGATGACTGAATGAAATCCAATTGTTTGGCATATAAATATATGAAAACAGATACATGTAACATTATTGTGGGACTTTGCTTTCAGCAAAGTCCCAGTTTGTTATCGAAATGTCAATTTTTTTTTTTTTTTCTTTTTTTTTTTCTTTTTCGATTTTTCCACACCTTCTCAAGCAAAAGCTGCAACAGCTGCATCAATATTATTACATGTGTAGACGTTCTGTAGTATCAACGTCGTAAATGAGTGTATTTTGGAACATTTTTGCAAAAACGGAAGTGCCACAGGTCCACATGTGCAAAAAGTCGAAAATCGGCTCTAGAAGGCGCATTTTTGCATCGATTTTCTTCGGATTTTCATTTTTACAATCTATCTGTTATTTCTGAACTGATAGCACTTGAAAAATTACGAAATTCGAAAATTCGTAGCTCACTTTTTTCGATCAAATTTTTCAATTTTTTTGCAACTTTTTTGTTTTTGCATCGATTGATCTGAAATTTAATATGCAAAGGGGTATCACTAAAGTAAATAATATGTAGTTGTCAAATATTTAACTTTACTTCTGGTTTTAGATGGGGAATCAATTGAAAGTACAATCCACTTCCGGTCGAATAACTTCCGGTGTAATTGAAATAGGTCAACGAAATTTATGCTGTTCGTAAGTAAATGCTATTACAAAAAAACGAAGAAAAAAAAAATCCAGACCGGAAGTGATACTTTGGTCGCCATTTTGAAAAAACACACTTTTGTAATTCGAAAAATGGGGCCTCTATGAAGAAATGGGCGTGTTTAATTTTGATGTGTATCTAATCTACAATTGATTGCCAACAAAAACTAGGAAGCCGATTTTTGAATTTCGCTTTTCATTTTTTGCAACTTCCGGTTGAAGTTTTTGCAAGTTCTATCTCGTGACCTTGACCTTTGATGACCTTGACCTTTATAGGGTTAAAGGTCATTGACCTTGACTATCAGTTGATACTTTGACATTTGACCTCCGACCTGTACTTCCGATTTTATAGCGTTCCGAAAACAGCCAAATTTGCAACTTTGGACTGCTCTAACATATGACCTAAATAACCTAAAGGGTCATTTTTTTCGGATTCTTAATGTGCTTCCCATGCTCTTTCCAGTGATATATAACAATCGTACTTTTAAAGAAAAATTGAAATTCTTGATTTTTTCAAATTCGAGTGGTTTTTTACCATATTTATGTCTCTTTGAGCTTAGTGTATGTATATCTTATGATCTACTTGATGTAGAACCTTGAAATTTGGAACACAACTAAACATGTTAAATATGGATTCACTTATGACAAAAAAGTTGAGGTGGGCGTGGCACATCCGGGTTGAATTGCTAATTGTTCACATTTAGAGGAAGGGGCATATCTCGCATAGGATACATTTGTTCAAAAAGGGACTTTGCACACAATTACCTCATCCTTTTGGCTAGTTTGTGTTAACAACTCAGTTATTTCAGCTTTATAGTTCCAAAAAAGGAACGGGTTTTAAAATTTCCATATTTTCAATTTTCGATTTTGACCTTTTTTGACTTTTTTTGACTTTTGTTGACCTATATCTTTTGACCTGCATGATGTAGAAGCTTGACATTTTGAACATAGCATCACAATTTAAATATCAATTAACCTATGCAAAAAAAATTGAGGTGGGCGTGGCACATCCGGGTTAAATTATTCATTATTGACATTTTTGGCCAAAGGCATAACTCGCAAAGACTACATTTGTTCAAAATGGAACTTTGCTCACAATTACGTCATCCTTTGAGCCACTTTGTCTTAGAAGGTTAGTTAGTTCAGCTTCATAATTCAAAAAAAGGAACAGGTTTTGGAAATTGACAATTTTCAATTTTTGACTTTGACCTTTGATGACCTTGACCTTTATTGGGTCAAAGGTCATTGACCTTGTCTATTAGTTTATGCTTTCATATTTGACCTCTGACGTCTACTTCCGCTTTTATAGCTGTCCAAAAACATCCAAATTCGCAAATTTGGACTGCTCTAGCTCGTGACCTAATTAACTTTAAGGGTAAATTTTTGTGGATTCTGAATGTGCTCTTCGTGCTCTTTCCAGTGATATATAATGCAAAATTGAAATTTCTGAATTTTTGAAATTTCGGTGTTTTTTTTACAATATGTTAGCTTCATTGAGCTAGTTCTATGTATTTCTTATGACCTATTTTCTGTAAAAGCTTGGAATTTGGAACACAATGAGACAAATTAAATATAGATTGACCTATGACAAAAAAGTTGAGGTGGGCGTGGCAGATTAGGCTTAAATTACTTATTATTTACATTTTTATCAGGGGTATAACTTGTATAAAATACATTTGTTCAAAACAGGACCTTGCACACAATTACCTCACCCCTTTGGCCATTTTGTGTGAAAAGGTCAGTTGTTTCCGCTTCGTAGTTAAAAAAAAATAACAGGGTTTAAATTTTGCATATTTTCAACTTTTGACCTTTACCATTGATGACCTTGACCTTTGTAGGATCGAAGTTCATTGATTCCTTCATACTTGATGTTCATCGTCAACTTCCGGTTTTTTAATGTTTGTATTTTCAAAGTTTGATGACTCATATCTAGTGATGTTGACCTTAAATGACCTTCCCCTTAACATGGTCAAAGGTCATTGACCTTGGAAATCTAATCATACTTTCATATTTTATGTCTGGCTTCAACTTCCGCTTAAACAACCTTCCAAAAAAGCGAAATTTTCAAAATTTATAACTGCTTTAGCATGTGACCTAATTGGCTAAGAACGTTGATTTTTTCAGATTCTCTAGCAAATTGGCACAAGAGCAAAGTCCCACTCAGTACCACAAGTGGTTCTAGTGATATTATCCTATTGCCAAACCTTGTATAAAATACGTTGAGGAACACAGGATATACTCTGTTAAGATATATTATATTTTAGGTAGAACCACAAGCTAGGTTAGTAGCTGTACAATATGCTATAGCTGTATTTCCTTCTAACCATATACCATCAAGATATATTTTACTCTTGGCATCTGGAGATAAGTAAGTTATTGACATTTTATTATTTTACTTTGTTTCAAATTACTTAATAATAAAAAGGTTTGGTTTTTTGGGAGTATTGTGCAGATTGTGTAGATCACCTTTTGAATAAGTAATTTGTTTTGCTCATATTATTAGAATTTGGCACCTTGTCCAATGAAGTCATATCACTGGAGCTGTAGTTGATTTTTGTTACCTTATTCAATTATACTTTGTATATATGTAAAATTACAGTAAAGATGATATAAGAGGTGAATCTATTAAAGAATTGAATAATACAGAAAATAAAGATGGTGTATCACTAGAATTACCACAGTTCATCAATATGATACAATATATAAAAGAAAAGGTATGGACTGAACTGATGCATTAAGTTTTATAATCAAGAGCTAGAGGGTAATTTATCTAGAATATTACAGCTGTAATCACATTGATCTACATCACCAACTACAGAATGTATGTCTTTCATTTATTTATGATACATATACAGTTGATATTTCAAATGAATTAATTTTCAGGCACAACAAAGAAAAGAAAGTAATCAGAAATACGTATCAGGAAATACTGTCTTACCATTCAATCCAACAACTTATACACAGGTTAGTTCTACGAGGCTAGGACTTTGAAATATGACAAAATTTCTTTTTCAAATTGAGTCATTTTGAATGCTATTTTCAGTGGTACATTTGATAAAATCGTCAATGGTTCAGCTGTTAATTCATGATTCCCCAGTTTTGTGACTTTTTTTATATTTGTTTAATCCTTGATAAGGTTGTGGTGCCTTTTTGAATTTGATGCTTGTTCAGTTAACTGAAGGTGCAAAAAAAATTTGAAATTAAAGATGGGTTCCAAATTTAAGAATGACCAGCAAAATTCAAATGAGTGACCAACCAAGGAAGGTCAAAAAGTTTTTTTTTTATTTATCCAGACAATACATACATGGACATTTATGAATGGTTAAAACTCTTATTTATATGCAATAAGAACATAATGATATGATTAAGAATGAAAAAAAGAAAAGAAATTCATCTTTAAACCTTATTTGATATAATTCTTGCAAAATTGTGTGGAGAGTGAAGACCAAGGATAGAATCATTTGAAGAAAATGTTTCATGTGGTAGTTTTTGTTCTATGCTTACTCTTTACACCTGATGGTACTTCTCCTTTGAGGAGTCAACTGCTATAAGTTATTGCTTCTGATTTTGTTTTGCTTTGGACGAGATTTTTGATACTGGAATTGTTTTGCTTTTACAGATTTTTATTACATGTGATTTTTAAAACAAAGCTACTGTGTGGTCATGTAACTATCTCTAACTATATTATAGATGATAATATATTTACGTATGTGTTTGATAAAAAGTGCTGGTGGTAAGAAAGTTGTACAAACTACTGATGAAATATTGAACGAATCTCCACTACTGTCTCACTATGTTAACCAGCTTTTGAGTACTTACACCACCAATGATGGTCCCATACAGACCTATATAAATATGATAAAAGATATACTCTCAGTCAATTCTGGTAGGTATAGCTTATATCATATCTAACAAACATTTGTGAAGCTTGTCTTTGGCAGTCTATGTGGTGGAAGCACAAGCCCTGTCAGCTTTCACCTAATATCACATGCTGTGTTAATTCACACATCATTTCTAATTCATTTCTAAACTAGTTCTGTTTATACGTTCCAGATTCCAAGACAATGTTTTGTTTGTTAGAAGTTGTTGCTGTAGCAGCAGATAAATTATCATGTGACCTGTTGTCCAATGTCGATTGGCTGATGGTAAATACTACCTTATTGAAATTCAGTTTACTTTTGTTTTCTGCAGATTGTCACGTTGATAAAAGTTATCATTATTCAAAATTCAACATCTCCAAACATTGCGAAAAAGCTTTAGATTGTTTTTTATTATTTATTTTCAGAGCTATGTCTTTTCCCCTAAGGAAGATTTAAGGTTAAATGCTAGTCAGTTGTATGCAATATTAATCTTTCACAGCAATAATCACAGTCTAATTTCTGATACATTACATGAACTTTATAATAATATACAGTCTAAATCAGAGGTAAGTAATAAGATCTTTATAATAATATACAGTCTTGATAAGAAGTAAATCAGACATAAATCACAAAAATATACCGTCTAAATCAGAGATCTTAATAATAATATACAATCTAAATCACATAAGAATAGATAATTACAATCTGTAATTTATATATTTATAACTATATCTGCATATGTGCCTTTTAGATCAAAACACTTTGTTTTGAGTTGGGAAATTGGTTATCAAAAGTATAAAATGGCAAATTCATTAATTTGTTACTTTCAGAAATTAGAAATACAGCTGGGTTCAATATTAACATTAGGATATATAATAGGACAGAAATTATATAGTAAATACCAAGATGTTACTATAGAAGATATGGATCATACTTCAATACATGGACAAACAGATAATATTAGAGATATTGTTATCAAAATAGGTAAAACTTGAACATTGAATGTCATAGATAGTTCTTTCATTTCTTACATAAATTTACATGCATGCTGGATCTATCAGCTTAAGGAAAACTGCATGAATGAAATTATCTGGCAAAGAGCTGTGTGTGTGTCAGATTTAAGGCTTATTAATGTTTTATATTTTTAATTACTTACGTATATGGTAATGTTAAGTTTATATGTGTTTATATTTTTTTAGTATCCATTATGACGAGTGGAAATGCTAACCTATCAAGTGCTGCTTGTATTGCATTAGGTGAAATTGGCAGAAATGGATCATTACCCCTGCCATCTGGTGGTGATGGTGACAATCAAGGGCAGATTACCATAATGTCTGTTATCAAACATTTCTTATCTATTCTTCAAAAGAGTGACCATTCAAACAAGGTAATTATTCTAGCAGTAGTATTTTACAAAAAAGCTTACAAAAAATATATTTGAATTATATCAAATTTGATGGAAATAAAGGTTTCATCTTTACATTCATTACTGTTTTTTCAGATGAAAGAAAAAGCTGCCATGGCTCTAGGTTATATATGTATTGGTGATGTAGATTTTCCACATAGAAAACATGTCATGTCGGAATTATTCAATGCTGTCACAGTGAGTTATTTATTTTTTATTTTTTTTGCATTGCTGATGCAGAGAAATGTTAACCCTGTTCTTGTTAATCCTGGGATTTTTCAACCTGGTATCCCCCTGTCAGTGATGCAGGTAATAAGGGCTGAAATAGAAAAAGCTTCTAGTCATTCGGATAGGACAAAAAATTGAGGCCCCGTGTGCCACATTCTGTGCACGTAAAAAATCTTTGAACAGTTGGAAATCGAAAACGAGGAGGCCAATGCCACTATCTTGCAAAAATATCTCTCATTGTACCCTGCATGGCTTTGCCCGCCCACATGGTGCAGAAAATTAGCACGTAAAACTCCATTCATTTCATTTCATTTCCTATATAAATTAATTCCTGCTATTCAGCCAAAATTGTCCAAAACAGTATAAGGTATATTACTTAATCATGCATTGTTTATGATAACAGATCATTGTATATTTTGATGCACTCTCAACAGGGTAAACAAGTTGATCTTCATTTTACCATTGGGGAAGCTTTAGTTTGCGTGGCTGAAGGAAAGAAGTCTGTTTTAGCTCGTGATTTATGGAGAGAAGAACCTGAAGAATATACAGTAAGTTGCAATTGATTCAGCTCATTTGTTGTCTTTAATGAGAAATACTCTTCAGACTAGAACTGAACCAGCAACATGACTGATGTCATTGGCTATACTAGTGATCATTATTCTAATTTTTAAACATGTATTTCCAAGAAATGGTATGTAATTACAAAAATGAACTTAGTAACACAAATACATTTTGATTATTTTAGAAAAAACATGCTGAAATTAAAGATGAGATGAAGTATTATTTAGATCAGATATTAACTGTTTATATACCACATTCTAATCAACATTTACGTCAGGTTTGTTTATTTCATATTATTTATTTATTGTTAATTGAAATGATTGCTTATCAAGGATTAAATTTGAAGAATAAACTAATTGAATCTTTTTTAATTTAATTTGATACTGATTTGTAGGCTGCTTGTATATGGTTACTGATATTATTAAGAAAATCTGGTCATCATCCTGTTATACAGAAAAAAATTATTGATATACAGAAAGCTTTTATGAGATTGTTATCTGAAAATGATGGTAAGATTTAATCTTAGTAGGCCTAGTGCCCAGCAAATCAATTACTGAAATAATATTGATACTGCATACTTGAATTCCTGATTCCTGAAACTGAAAGTAGAACCGAGATAAATATTGCTATTCTTTACTATTCTTTCTTTTTGATAAACAGCAAAATTTATTCGATTTCTTTAATCTTTAATATTTTAAGTACACAGACTTATTTGGTTAGGTTATATATTTTGTAGATATAACACAAGATATAGCATCTAAAGGATTGGGCTTGGTGTTTGATATTTGTACACAAGAACAGAAAGATTTACTAGTTTCTACATTAGTTGATACTTTAACTACTGGTAAAAGGTGAGACTTTAAAAGTATTTATGATATTATCAGATTTCTGTCATTTGTTTCTGTTAAAACATCTGCTTCTGTTATAACATCTGTTCAAACATAAAACAAACAAGAATCAATACTTTGACTCAGGGGAGCAATTGATAGACCATGCTGAGGAATTATTGCCAAGGGGAGTAATGGGGGGGCAAGGTTATCTACTATTGAAATTGACATTATTCACCATGGACATACAGAAATCGTGAACAAATAATCAGCTCAAGGGTCACATGGAACTATCTCGATATGTGGACTATGATTTATATCATTGTAATTCATTGTATGCATTTTTTGAAATATGTTTTTAAAATGATTTATTTTGGGATGGAGTAGATTTAAAAAAACTCTTTCGGGAGGAATGATCTCACTGAGGTTGAGAAGCACTGCTTTAACTTATATATCAAGTACACATTATGCGTTATGAATGAGTTAAGAAATTGCATGTAATAATCAACAATTTTTTATGCAAAAACGGGCTAAATTCATCTAAAAAGCATCCATGTACCAAGATGAAAGATTATAAAGTTACTAGTTAAAAAGGTGAATATCAGAGTGATTCTATAGTCTAAACATATTGCTATATTTTAGTACTAAACATGAAGTAACCAGTGATACTACAGTATTTGCTGAAGGTTCTATTGGCAAAGCACCAGATGGGTAAGTATAGTGTTATAGTGAACTAGAGCCAAGCTTACATTGAAATCTGTTTATTATTCAGCTGAAGCATGGGTTGTACTTAATTTTTTTTTTCTTGTTTTCAGCTGGCATTAATGCAGATTGGAGGACTGGCATTGACTAATAAAGTAGACTATTAGACAAGGCTACATGAGCTACAGGCTGTGTTCACCTTAAACAATCTTAAACTATTGCTTAGAATTCAAAATTAATAGGTTAATGTTGCTATCCAATCAGCAACAATAGAGAACAGTAAACAATATACTTTCTTGATGTCAGTGTTTGTAGATGCATGACTTTATCTTGTAGCAGTGTTAATCAAAGCTACTAAAAATGCTGCCAGTGAAATGAATGTGATTCTTTATCTTTTAGTGGTGGTCTATCAACTTATAAAGAATTATGTTCAATAGCTAATGATTTAAACCAACCTGACTTAGTTTATAAATTTATGCATTTAGCACATCATAATGCTGTTTGGAATTCAAGAAAGGTACTTATTATAAATATATTTAGTATTGTGTAATGATGTAACTGATTTGAGATGATCGGTTAACCGTCAATTTTATTAGAAGTTGTCACTTTATTAATCTTTAAACTCTTCTTTTCTCTACTAAATAAATGTCTAAACTTGTGTTGTTTTTCTAAATTGAATAATTGAGAGGGTTATCTTGATTGGGTTACAATTAGGCTATAATAACATGTATTGCAGAATTATGTTGATTTTTGTGGTCAAGATTATCAAGACCATTCGCAAGATACTAGTCCCACTGGGAACTCAAAGTTCAAGATTTTTTAACAGGTGTTACTATATATAGCTCAGTGATCCAGATAAGATTCTTCCTTATTACACAGAATGTTGGAATACTCAAATGTCAGATATCACATAGTACACTGTACTGCAGTTTACAGTTTTTGACCTTGTTGTTTATCTTGACTAATTAACCGTGATAAACTCGGTAAAAAATGTTATTGTGGAAAATTACCCAGTTCGTCAAAATCACTAACTGTTTCAACACTTAAAATAATGATGCATTTGGTAAAGAAAAATAAGGTTTACTTATAAAAAAAATGAGAATTTTCACAATCAAAGGGGATTCTTGTATTTGTTTATATTTTGAATATTTCTCTACTGTACATGATGAAATATACAGTGGTGTAACCTATTTTCGTGGATATAAGGATTCAACACCAAATTTCGTCAAGGTTAAAAAAACGAAAATTTTTTTTATGTCTTAGATGTTTCCTCAGATATTCTACAAAATAATTAAAATTGGTTTATTTCGATTTTCTTTATGAATCCTTCACTTTGACCCATATTTCATGAGCAACCAACTCGGCAATGGCGGCAGAATGTGTCACTCATTTTCGTGTACAATGTTTGATCTATAAATAAGACTAGATAAACACGTTGTATGGATACCGGATGGTAAAATTAACTTCTCTTAGTATTTATCTTTAATATCAATTAATTATAACTAGTGACAATTCCTTCAAAGAACCACGATTTAAAAAAAAAATAGTGACTGACAAAATAAGATACGTAGCGTGATTTATTGCTAAAAGTCACTGAGACAACATAAGAATATGGTCCATTTTGTGTTCCATAGAAATTTTCTGCTGACACGGAATCTGCTAGTTGATCACGTGACTTCATTTGTTGAAATATATTCTAGCAGACAACACTTGGAATTCCGATTACCGCTTGGGATTATAAGGAAATTCGTCCGATAAAAATTGGTGACGTTTGGTAATAACTGAAATCCGCCATTTTGTATTTGTCAAAGTATACATTAATACATTTGACCTTGCTTGAAACTACTGGATTCATTCTACTAGCTGACATTGTAGAGAAAACCCATGTTTATCAAAACAAGCTAATGCGGAGGTCGCGCAAGGTCACTCATGTAAATTATTAATCCTTACCGGAAATCCACGAATAAAAGGTTTCCACGAAATTAGGTTACTCGACTATATATTAAATATTTAATTGGTATTGTATTCTAGTGATCTGACCCTGAATAGTGAATATTGTAATGTGAATTCACTCAATTATCCAAATTTTTAATTTATAGGGGGCAGCATTTGGATTTAGTACTATAGCAGCTCAGGCTGGTGAACAGTTAGCACCCTTTCTACCACAAATGGTACCAAAACTTTATAGATACCAGTTTGATCCCAACCCTAAAATACAGCAAGCTATGAGTAGTATCTGGAATGCTCTTGTTAAAGATAACAAGAAAACGGTACGTGAACCAATATAATTTTGGTTGAATATTTGAAGTTAAAAGTTTGGAACAATTCACTTGAATAAACGATAAGCTTTTCAATTTACTTCCCTTTGGTAGGGTCTGACAAGGAAGGAGTATGTAGTTCTCATCGTGTACAAACCACACCCCATACTCATACTTTCTCGAGGCCGTGGTAATAGTTAGTACTGTGTATTTTTTCTCTGTGAATTATTAATATAATGTAATTCATCATCTACCTTTTGTTGAATTCTGTAAATTTAGTAATTTTATATCCCTTCAAATGTACCACTCGTTGTATGATGTCTTTAATGGGCGTATTTGATACAATAAACTTATCTGTCTTATCTTATCTTATCTTATCTTATCTTATCTTATCTTATCTTATCTTATCTTATCTTATCTTATCTTATCTTATCTTATCTTATCTTATCTTATCTTATCTTATCTTATCTTATCTTATCTTACAGGTGAGGGAAATCACGTATTCATAGCTGAATATTATCAAAATTGGTCCTGAAATCTTTCTAAGAAATCTTAAGCAATCAAATCAATTCACTTGTTACAGATGCATTCTACTGATCTGATTGATCAGATTTAGATAGCACAAACCTTCAAAACTAAGTGTAGTGGGTTTAGTATAAAAAAGACGTATTTGGGATATGATGATGTAGTTCTATGGATGAGACGTATACTTCAGGTTTTACATGTAATAAACCCCCCATCCCCCCCTTCACATTTATTTTTGTAGATAACTTTCCTCGTAGATCACTCATTTCCTCATGAAAATATTTTGTGGGGACTCATCTTGGACCTGTGATGAAGTTAGTAATCCATTGACCCTGATCATTTTAGTCTTGATCATAGAACTATAATATTACAGTTCTATGTCTTCATAAAGTACTGTTGATATTTTAGGTTGAAATTTATATGAAACAGATATTGGATGATTTGATAAAGAATTTGACCAGTAATCAATGGAGGATAAGAGAATCAAGGTTTGTTCCAAAGAAAATATTTGTGTCTTTTCACCTAGTATGTTCGCGTTCGATTACTTGCGCAGTGCTCCCACTACATGTTACTCTGACATTTTTTAACATGGGCAGTGCAAGCAAGTAAACGAACGGTTTCGCCCTTACCCGCGAAAACTGTCTTGGTTATGGAAGCAGTTTACTTGATGATGCTTGAAATAACATCTTCCAAATCTGTGAAGAAAGCCAATCAGTAATAGTGTTGACAGTTCACTGTCCAAATTTGAGCCTTCAAATCCATGTATGTCTAGAATTTTCCGCCATTGAATGTTAAATTGACAACTCTTGATATATAGGAAAGACATTTATTGAAATATAGAGGAAAATTCCTAGTTTGAAGTATTTTTAAAGGAGTTAAGCAATTTTCGTACATTTCTAGTACTTCTGAAGACTATTTACATATATTCAAGACTAAAATCAACCCCCCATTGATTAAAGATATATATATTATAAGATATAATGTTAAGATCATATACTTGAAGACATGTAATATTGAGTTCAGAGTGTTTAAAGGATTTAATTGTGTGAAATTGTATTTTAGTTGTTTAGCTGTCAATGATTTATTACGTGGTAGAAATATTGATGATATTATTGAGCAACTACCAGAATTGTGGCAGACATTATTACGGGTCAGAGATGATATTAAGGTTAGATTGGATAGTTGAATAAAGAGATAATGTGAAACTGATAAAAATTTGAAAATCAAAAAGTGAAGGCAAACTGGTTGACAAAATTCTTCGCATTGCATACTGCGTAGCATTGCCCAAGTATGTGCAGAGTAAAGTAAAAAGTTAACCTTTTATTTCTGTGAATTGTGAAAAAACTGTTGTGATTTATGATTTTGTTTAACCAAAGAGTTATCGTTTTTAAGGTTTTTGCTCCTCAGTCAATGTGTTACTCCCATGACTAAGGCCTTGTGTAATATAATTCGAATGTGATTTTTTCTTGATTCTGATTTTTAAATTTACAGGAATCTGTACGAACTGCTGCCCATACAGCCTGTAAAACTCTTAGTAGAGTAAGTAGATTTCTTAGATATATTGCTAACAAATGATTGTTGAGTTTCTCAGTATTGATATTTGTAGGTTTCTGATAAAAGTATGTCCTATTAATAATGGTAACTTTATATTTAGCAATATGTGATATTAATAATGGAAATGTTATATTTGGGTATTTGATAAAACATGTGATATTAATAATGGTAATGTTATATTTAGGAATCTGTTGAAATATGTGATATTAATAATGGAAATGTTATATTTAGGCATGTGATATTAAAAATGGTAATGTTATATTTAGGAATTTGTTGAAATATCTGATATTACTAATTGAAATGTTATATTTAGGAATCTGTTGAAACATGTGATATTAATAGTGGTAATGTTATATTTGGGTATCTGATAAAATAATTGATATGAACAATGGTAATGTTATATTTAGGTGTCTGTTAAAATATGTGATATTAATAATGGTAAAGTAGGAGAAAGAGCTATACAGTCAGTATTACCCTGTTTATTAACTAATACTTTAAATAGTACAGTGAAAGAAGTTAGACAAATTGGGTGAGTACTTCTATATGTCACACTTTTTACCATATCTCGTGTTTTTTTTTAAGAGGTAGTTTTGACATTACTGGATTTCTTTAGTTATTGTTTCATGCATTCATATTTCATATTTGAAAATAAACTGGTTACATTATTTTATAGATTATCAACTATATTAGATATCAGTAAAAACTCTGGTAAATTATTAAAGCCACATATACCAGTGTTAGTTATAGCTTTATTGGAAGCTGTCAGTGGGCTGGAACCCCAAGTTTTAAATTATTATAGTTTACATATGGGTAGTCAAGATACCCAAGAAAAGGTAATAATAAGTATACAATTTGTTTTAATGGCTATTCAGTAGTCTGGATGGATTAGAGAGTTAGACACTTGTGGAGCAGGCGTTGATGGTTGGAGGCTAACATGGGTAAAGTGTTTTGTTGTTCTGATGAGAAGATAAATCAAGGCCCCATGCGCTACAGGCCATGTTAAGGATTAAGGATCAGAAAGATAGATTTAATTTCCCTTTTGTTACATCTGTCTTCAGTTAGCCCAATCAGCATGTGATGTTAAACTTGAGGTCATTCTTGATTAAAACCTATGATTTTTCAGACTCTTAACTGCTCTAGACCAGACATATTAGACTGCATTGTTTCAAATTTCACATTTTGCTGGAAAATTGTACAATTTTTCCCTTTCTTATAATCAGAATCTAAAAGAATTACTTTCTTGCAATACTTCCTCTGATGATGCTCTATTGAATATGTGTATTTTATTTATAGTTAGATAGTGCTAGGATTTCATACTCTAAAACATCACCTATGATGGAAACAGTCAGTAAGGTAAGAAAGCTTTGTTCATTATCTTCATATTATATATCCTTAAATAATTGATTCAATTAAATTGACATTTTATTTAATTTTGTTTGCTTGGGTATTTCACAACTTCTGTGACTGTGATCTTAAGGTAGCAAATCAGAATGGAACAAGCAGTAGCTATAAGATTTTAATGTTTGAGCTACTTGTATATTAAAACTATGTATTCTAAATGTAGAATTCATATTAAAGAGAAACTGATATACTTGTATTATAGTGTGTACAGTATGTTGATGATACTATTTTACCAGAGTTGGTACCGAGATTATGTGATTTAATCAAATCTGGTATTGGTGTGGCTACTAAGGTAAACATTTTATACAACGATCTTGTTTATTTGTAAGTTGCTTTTGCTACATATTATTTGAACAAAAAATTTGGTGAGACTATAGTGAAAGAATTACAAATCTAAAATGTGTAATTTCTAGAATACGGTTATTTTTCTTCCCTGTCAGTCTTTTAGTATGTCTTATTGTATCATGTTTCAATTTGCAACATTTCATAATTAAAATGAATAGAACAAAATATTTAAGAGACTCTCCATACTTAAAGAGGCAAAATCATCAAATACATGACAACATTTTTGATCTGAACTAATTTGACCCTTTGACCATTGATTAACAGAAAACAAAACATTGCAAGCTTCAAATGTGACTTTGTATATACATGTATATATGTATTTCCAGGCAGGTTGTTCTAGTTTTACTATATCTTTAGTACATCACTGTCCTAATGATTTAGCACCATATGCAGGTAATTATAGGCATGTTCTGTTTTTAGGATGCAAACTTACTTAGAAATTATAAAAAAAAATAAAAGATGTTTTAACATAAACAACACAAGTTATATGTTATTTATGTTTGCCTTCCTACTTCTATATGTCTTATAAAGAAGATGTTTTAAGTTGATATAGATACTAAATGTTTACAAATGTACTAAATTCATTTGGTAATAAAGTAACAGCAGTTTTTATTTAATTAATTTAGTTATGTTAACAGATGTACTTATAAATTCTGTCAATAACAGATGATATACTCAAAGTTACACTCCTAGAAGATAATTGTACATAACAAATCATATTTTATGTTATATCATTTGAACAGATGTACTAAAAGCATGCTTACTTAATCCTTGGAGTAATGACTGACAAGCTTAATCTGACATAACATTTATACTTGCAAGCATATTTGTGCAGATAAATGGGATATTTATTATTAAGATTTCTAAATTTTGTCTTTCAACTATGTTCTCAGACCTGAACTGATTTGTTTATTCTTGCAGGAAAGTTAATGGCTTCCTTTCTGAATGGAGCCTGTGATAGAAACTTATCTGTTAGAAAATATTATTCCTCTGCTTTGGGTCATTTATCAAAGGTAACGTAAGATACGACATCTCAACTTTTTATTTAGCTGAATTAGAAAGCATATAACTGCTAAGCAGAGAGTCCCAGAGCAGATTCTGGCATTCAATTAAGGTTAACGATGATGGTTATTGAAGTATGTCATTGTCCTAATTATTAGAAAAAGCCATTGATTTGGTTGAATATTGCAAAATGAATTCATAGTTACAACAATGCCTTTACGAACTGTTTTCATCAACAGACTCCTTATTAGAGTGTTAATTACACTCACCATTTGAGTAGGAGTAATGGTACGGGGGTATTTTTCTTATTTTGGATAATCTGGGGAATTAATGTCAAGAGGTTTGGCCAAGGTAGAATCATTGTCAACCTAGTGCATAGTAGTTATCAGTGTAAAAAAGGATTGTTTCTTTCCTTTATTTTCCTTATCGTATTTTCTCAGATGAAAATGTGATAGTCTGTTAGTCCTTTGATCAAGCTGAGGCGACCCAGAGGTTGGGAACCCAGGATTTAAATAATCATCAAACAGGTTCCTTGAGCATAATAAACAAATAAATTGATTTAGATTTTTTTATTTTGGATCTTATACCTATATTGACTGGTTTTCCATTTCTTCAGATAGCAAAAGATAGCAGTGTTGAAAAGTTGATAGCAAGAATTAAAAGCTGGTATTTAGAAAAAGAGGGTAAGGTTGTCAAATATTTTCAGACACTTGAGACTTGCTACATGCATTTAGGATATGGAATTATACATATTTTTAAGCTTGAAATTTTTTTTGTATGAAATTTTTTGCATCAATTAGTGAAGTTGTATTAGTAAAAGGTAAATGTCAGATGCATTTTCTATTTCAGATGAAAATGCACACAGTGCTAGTGGTCTAATCCTACATGCTATGAATAGGCATAGTCCTGATGCTTTACAAAGAAATGCTGCCTTAGCTATGCCTTTAGCATTCTTTGCCATGCATCAAAAAATTAATGAAGGTAAGTGTCAATTTGGTTATTTGCAAAAAAAAATATTTTTATCCAGTGAAGATCACTTGTACTTGTGTCACAAGTGATTAGAGAGTTTACTCATGTGTCCAAATGAAAGTTATATTTAACTTCCTTTTTCAAGTGATCTGCACATGAATTTTATATGGCCAAATCAATTTTCAAAGAAATGTTATGTCATCTTGTCAAAGAGTCTTTGCATTGGACTGCTATGTAAATTTCTATTGATATTTTGTTTATAGAAGATGAAACATCAAAACAAACTATAAAGATATGGCAAGATGTATGGAATGAAACAACCCCCAGTAAGTACATTTTGAATCGTATACAGTATAGTTATAGTACAGAGCTGTCTGACTCTTTATCTAGACTCTTAAGTCTTAAAAAACACAGTCAAAATGGATTTCATTTATTTCAACAATTTTTCACACTTTACAAAGACAATTATTAAGTGGTGTATTCATTTTATATTATTCCTAAAACTCATGCTAAAGACATTATTTATGAATTTAAGACCTATCAGAGCAGGTAAGGTCTGATTCTTGTAATATAAGTAATATCTATATCAGATTCAGGTGTTCAAAATATCTTCTCTGTAGGTACAGAATCGGGTGTACGCTTATATCTTGGTGAAATAGTTTCTATTCTACAATCATCACTAGACTCACAATCCTGGACAACCAAAGCTCAAGCTGCTGTTTCTATGACAACATTGGCCACTGAATCAGGCACCAATCTAAGCTCTCCACATTTGAACCAAATACTACAAGCTTTGATCAGTGGCTTACAAGGTAGAACTTGGGGTGGAAAGGTAAGTGAGCTTCACTAAAATTAATTCTTAAAAAAGGTTATTAGCTTTGTTAACTCCTTAAAAAAGATGCCAAGTCCATGGCCCATTTCCAGCACAGCAGTCGGCTAGACAAAACATACTTGTACAAAATGTGGTTTATATCTTACAGACTGAATATTTAATATAATGATTTCATTGTAGTGGATGTTTTTATTTAAAATTGATTAAAACTCCATATTATTGAGAGTTATCTGACAAAATGATGTCATTATCTAAAAATTATTCTGTTACAGGAAGAATTATTAAAGGCTTTATCAACTGTATGTACATCATGCAGGTAAGTTGCCAGAACAGAGTTTTATAATTAAATACATGAAATGAAAAACTTGGCTAACAACATGTCTTCTAAAAGGGTAATATCACTTCACTTACATTATGTGTTTCAATAGGGTAAGCATTCCACACTGACAGAATCTATTCCGTTAAACTCATAAAAATAAAAATTTGGAGCTCCAAGATTAATGTTAAAGATTTATTAAATTTGCTTTTTAACATGAAATGTATTAAATATTTTAGGGAAGCTATATCAAATGAAATGTTAAACAATCAGCCAGCAATACATCAGGTATGCATTTTGATTGTCTTCATATCAACATAATATTCTTCCAGCGAAAAAGCAATGTGAACTCTCTTAAGGTTTACTGAGATGACAGAGTATTACAAAGAGTAAGGGTGCCTCCATCATTAGCGTGTGGCTTCTTTGTAGATTTTTTGAAATATTCACTGTTATTAACTAAATGCAGAGATATTCTGTAAAAAAACCAGAACATTGTTAATATCTTGCTTAGATTTTCTTTTTTGACTTCATTCAAAATTTTAGATAACTGACTGTGTTTTGAAAGAATGTAGAAAAGAAAAGAGTGACTATAGATTAGAGGCATGGAAATGTATGTCAGCTGTATTAGAAGAATATGAAATTGATAAATTTCAAGATATGTGGGATATCATGATACCTGTTTTACAAAAGGTAAATCTTAATCAGGTAAATCTTAATCATTTCCTGATTTTTCTATCAACAACAAAAATTAAAGCCTGTTGTTTTGTTTTGTGCTATCAAACTACAGGATAAACGTCAAATCAAATAGCAGTGTTGATAAGATTTCTGTTTATTATTTTACTAGTCTGACTATTCTTATTATTTTACCAGTCTGACTATTCTTATTATTTTACCAGTCTGACTATGTTTATATTTTTACCAGTCTATATTTATTATTTTACTAGTATGACTATTCTTATTATTTAACAATTCTGACTATTTAATATTGTTTAATATTTTATCAGTTTGAGTATGTTAATTCTTTTACAAGTCTGACTAAATTTATTATTTTACCAGAGAGACTATTCTTATTATTTAACTAGTCTGACTATGTTTATTATTTTACTAGTATGACTATTCTTATTATTTAACTAGTCTGACTATGTTTATTATTTTACTAGTATGACTATGTTTATTATTTAACTAGTCTGACTATGTTTATTATTTTACTAGTACGACTATTCTTATTATTTAACTAGTCTGACTATGTTTATTATTAGTCTGGCTATTTTTTTTTTATGTTTCCAGTGTGACAATAAAGAGAAAGATGATGATGAAGCTATAAGTAGTAATTTAAAAGAAAGCAATAGAGAATGTATATATTTATGTTTAGGACAATGTTGGCCATATACATCCTCTGTACAAGGTAAAAACTTTTCTGTACAATATAAGCTTTGTTTCTCTCTGTCGTGACATTACTAACTTACTGCTAGAAATGAGCTTTAGAGACCTATTATAAATGTTCTATATAAGTTTCATTAACAGTGAAATTTAGGGTTTATCTTGTAGATGATTATAAGAAGAAGTTATTAGATTTACTACTATCATCATTACCTCTCAGTACATGGAAAGTACAAGTCTCAATTTTAAAATCTTTAAATACATATATTGAGAGGTAAGTAATCTCTTTTTTATTGCAAATCTTTTGATGCACTATATGGTGTAAAAGTATGTAACAGTTAAAATATCCCTTGACAGCTAGAAATTGTAGGCAAATTTGTTCTTTTGATTCAATACATGGTATATAAATAAAGGTCCAGAAAAGTACCTCCTATAGTTATTTCAAATGCCAATTGATTATATGAAAGGGTAATTAAGATTATATGTGTTAAAGAAAGATAAAATTAAAGCTATTGTTGTATCAACTGATGATAAATTAAGTAAATTCTGTATGTTTCAGATTACATGTATCACAAGGATAAGATCAGATCTACTGTCAGATGATAAATTAAGTAATTTCTGTATATTTCAGATTACATGTATCACAGAAAGATAAGATCAGATCTACTGTCAGATGATAAATTAAGTAATTTCTGTATATTTCAGATTACATGTATTACTGAAAGATAAAATAAGATCTACTGTTGTATCAACTGATAATAAATTAAGTAATTTCTGTATATTTCAGATTACATGTATTACAGAAAGATAACATAAGATCTACTGTCAGATGATGAATTAAGTAATTTCTGTATATTTCAGATTACATGTACTACAGAAAGATAAGATAAGATCTACTGTCAGATGATAAATTAAGTAATTTCTGTATATTTCAGATTACATGTGTTACAGAAAGATAAAATAAGATCTACTGTCAGATGATAAATTAAGTAATTTCTGTATATTTCAGATTACATGTATTACAGAAAGATAAAATAAGATCTACTGTCAGATGATAAATTAAGTAATTTCTGTATATTTCAGATTACATGTGTTAAAGAAAGATAAAATAAGATCTATTGTCAGATGATAAATTAAGTAATTTCTGTATATTTCAGATTACATGTATCACAAAAAGATAACATCTACTGTCAGATGATAAATTAAGTAATTTCTGTATATTTCAGATTACATGTGTTACAGAAAGATAAAATAAGATCTACTGTCAGATGATAAATTAAGTAATTTCTGTATATTTCAGATTACATGTATTACAGAAAGATAAAATAAGATCTACTGTCAGATGATAAATTAAGTAATTTCTGTATATTTCAGATAACATGTATTACAGAAAGATAAAATAAGATCTACTGTCAGATGATAAATTAAGTAATTTCTGTATATTTCAGATTACATGTATTACAGAAAGATAAGATAAGATCTACTGATGAAGAACTAAGTGATAGTATTTCAATTATTATACAAACTATACTGCCTTTACTAGGTACATTTTCTTGGCAGAATAATATCAAATACAGGTGTAATGTAGCACCTACATATAACATGGAGAGGATATATCCACTTCATTTCTTAATAGCAATAGTAGTTATGGATGCTCCAAAAATCTGCTTGAGTATATCTTTAGACATTGAATTTATTGCAGTCATCTTTTTTTGTGGGTGAAAAAAAGGGGTATTTTTCAGCAAACAAGAAATAAAAGATATTCACCAATGATTTAGAGAAAAAAATTTGAAATTAGTGAATGGGGTTTAAATTGCATCTTGAGCTCTCGGGGTTTTGACTCCACTATTTTTCTTGAAAATGTGCCCTAGCCTTAAGTTCAACAGCTAATAAAAAATGTGGTTCTGCTGATTCATGAATCAAAATATCTAGTGGGTATAAGATTTTGGAAATGCATTATGAATTATCCAAACCATGAAATTTGAACTCGTATAAATGATGTCACAATATATTTTTGGCTTTATCTTTTAGGGAACACTTCAAAATATACAGTACTTAAAGTACAAGTTTTAGTCATTATTGAAACTTTATTAACAAAATTAATAGGTGAGTTTAATGTTAACTTACAGTTTTATTTAAATATGTTAAAAACAATTTACACATTTTACATCTTGGTGGCCTTCGAAATTGACATTTTTTACTGAAAAAGTTATTGACATGATGCTTTCTTTTTGCTTCTATTAATAGCGAAGGAATTAATTATAAAGGGGGAAAGTTATTTAATTGCATTAACAGAACCAATATCAGTATCAGAGGCAGTAGTCAGATTGAAAATGATGTGTCTAGGTTGCCTGCAATTAAATATAAACTCATACTTCAATCTTATTGTATGACTCTAAAATAATGGTATATATTTTGTAGATGGTGGAGCTGTGAATTTGTCATCAACATCTGATACAGAGATGTTATTAATAGCTGCTAATAGACTGAATGAAGACGGCACATGGGAAGTCAGAGAAAAAGCTAGTTCTGTTTTAAAATTACTCACTGGAAAACTACAGGAATAATCAAGAAAAGTTTTGTAAACTTGCTAGTGCTCCAGAAAAGTTTGGTAAAATTTTGAAGTGTTTAACAAGAAATTGTGAACAATAGATATGAAAAGACTTTCATGTTAAAAAAATAAATAAACAAAAAGATTTAAATGAAGTAAAGCTTGGATATTGTTTCATTAAAATAAGATCTTATAAAGTAACTTAACTAAATTAATATTTGTGAGTAGAAATGTACTGAAGTGTGATACTTATAATTAAAGTGCTATTTAAAAGAGAATAACAGATGTTTTTTTTTTTTTTATATCTATTTTCAGTAGCATGAAACTTGCCTACTTATTGTTGATTTTCTTCAGAGGACTAGTTTTTCTAACTTGTTTATGTATATTGTTATATTTGCCCTGACAGTTCACAAACTGTTAATACGATACTAGTATTAAAGGTGATATGTCAACACCAGAGTGTTTCAATCACATTTTCTTCAATGAAATTTCTTATCTAATGGCCTCCAAAAAAGATTAGAAAAGAAGTATTTAGTGCACACATTTTAATAAATAATATTTGAATCATTACACTGTATTGTGTTTACAACCCAACATTTACACATACAATTTCGTATTTAATTTTCACTCAAACTTGTTTTATTAACAAGATAAACTAGATCCACAGACTTCGCGAGGTTCTGATGCAGTGCGTAACAGTTTTGATTTTACGCTTAAAACTGTGCCGCAAAGTATCGTAACAGTAACATAATTTCCTATCATAAATAAATGGATATAGATCGCCCAAACGCAAAGCATATTCGACAGATCGCTTCAACTCACATCGCATTCAACAACAGATGAAGGGAGCAAACTACCTTTATCGTTTAGACCACACAAAAACTTACAAGCGGAAAACCCGACTTTTTCAAGATAAAATTCATCAATTTCAAATGGCGATAAGATCGGAAGTAAACACCGTACAATAAACGTTAATATACCATTGGAAAGATCTCGTCGAGAGCTATCAAAATTGTTCTGGTCACATGATCACCAAAGGTCAAGGTCACGATATACGACCCTTCAAAGTATTCATATTTTTCAACCGGAAATAAATAAAAAGCAAAATCAAAATTCAAAAATCGGTTCTCAAATATTATTTAGCAATCGATAGTAGATACCATAGATATCAAATTTACACAAATTGGATTACACCATGAGGCCCCATTTCGATTTATAGAAAATTACGCACAGTTACTATAGAAGAAAGTACAAAATTTTCATATATTAAAAAGCGCAATTTTGATTGAAATATCTAGTGTTATATATCATTACAAAGGGCAGATGAACAGTAGTAAGATTCAATAAGAATTTTTGGTGTATGTAAATTAAGTCACGTGTCAGAGCTCTTTGAAGATAAAAATCGTAATTTTCAATCCGCTATAAAACCGGAAGTAAACATTGCACACCACAAATGAGTATATCACTGGATAGATATCATCGAGAGCAACAAATTTTGTACAGGCCACAAGGTAACCAAAGGTCAAGGTCACAAAATAGGAGCCTTTGAAATTTTGGGCATTACCGAAAATTTTTAACCGGAAATAAAAGAAAAGCAAAATCGAAATTCAAAAATCGGCTTCCAAATTTCTTTTCGCAATCGATTGTGATATCCAGATATACCAAAATTATGAAAAGCGCTCTATACCCTGAGGCCCCATTTTGAATTTTACAGAAGTATGACATATCAATATGGCGACCACTCTGTTACATCCGGGTCGGATTTTTTGATTTGAAGTTTTTTGTATGGCTATTTGTAACATATTGCAAAAAGAATTTTTTAAATTTCTTCAAAATTCCGGAAGTTGAATTTTATATTTTAGAAGCGAATAGCGTCAAAACCGGAAGTGATATCAAAATTTTGAAAATTTGTTTATGTTCGCAATGAAAGTGTCTATTACTCTGTAAGTTTTCAGATTGATCGAAATAGAATTGCAGAAGTTAGAAAAAAGGTTAAAAAACTCAAAAATTGGAACTCAAAAAGTCAGCGACAAAAGTCAAAATTGTCGATTTTTTCAATTGCTATCCTGTAGTCATTAGCGCGAAGTAATAAACAGTACAGTTTGAGCAAATTCAGACGAGTATTAAAGCTGATTAATGGAAAAAATTGAAAAAGAGCCATTGTCCACGGCTCATTTCCTGTTGGTCAAAAGGGTGCCAATTTACATTTAACAAATAATGGACCACTATTTTGACTAGCAAACAGTAACAGACAGTCTGTGGTATGTTGCCTTCTTAGAAAACAAGCGAAGGTAAAATTCAAAAAAAAAAAAAAAAAAAAAAAAAAAAACAAAGCACTGCAATTATAAAGTTAATATTTCTACACCAGTAGATGTAATTACAATTGTATGTTCAAATTGAGCTGTTCTACAGTTATCTTTGGTTATAGCTGTCCAACCATCTTCTAATATTACTACTTCATCATTACCTTCTGTTATAACTGGTTCTATAATGAAATACAATCATGTTTTCATAGAGAATTCAAATTGAAATTCATGGTTTGAGGTATTTTTGAAGGAATTTTGTGATTTTTGTATTTCTGAAGACAATTTACTTATATATTCTTGACCCAAATCAACTCCCAAAAATAGTAAACTTGTCTCTTTAAGAAGAAACCTAATTATCAGACTACAACTGAACACACAGGCATGATGATAAATCAAGAATTTTTAACTTACCAACAGTAAAACTCATACCTGCTTCCATCATGACATTGTCCTCATTTATTGTTTCTGTATAAAATAATATCTGATTATATTGTCCTATCATTATGAAACTTGCTGATGATAGCATCTGGTAGATATTTTTTGATTGTGTACACATAATTACTACAACAATTTATTTGAAAGCTGAGGGGTTTCATGCTGCAAAGTATTTCTTAATAATTTTGCAGAAAAAACTATCAATATATTAAAATCACTATAACACAAGCTTCAAAGTAATTAAGATATTTTAGTTAATTTTGATAGAAAAAAAATATAAAATATATGTAAGTAATTTCAATTGAGTGAATCTTAGAAAACAAACTACTTGCCAACATGAATAATGCTAGGTAAACCATGAAAATATTCTCCTATACCATGACCACAAAATACTGATATTATATTTACATTTTCTTTCTCCGCTTCTTCACTTAAAAATGAAAAATTTAGACTATTACTTTTGATTTGAATTAATTTGTACAGCAGTGAACATTTGTGCAAGGTATGGTTACACTTTACACACCACCATAAATCAAAATTCATACTAACATTTCAGGGTCAATTTTCTGAAATATTCACTAAGGACTAATTATCTAAATAAACTAGTGTCCAAAAGAAACGATACCAACTTATTTTCAAAATTGTTTTTTACTAAGTGAATTGTCTAATATGAAAACATGCCAATTCGTATTGCACATCCCAAACACAGCATAGTCGATAAAAATACCGTGAACACGTGATCACTTCCGGGAAAAAACGTAAATTTCATGAAAGTGACATTTCCCTCTCTAGCATGTTCTGCACATGCATAAAACTGTATAAAACGGCTGATCAGACACGTTGATATCACAGCAACAAAAAGAACACTAGATATGCCACGTTTGACAGCCATCGAGAGAGAGAGCCTTTGGAATGGTCCAACAAGGAGCGACACACGTCGACGTCGCCAGAAGGTTGGGCTGCGCACGCATCACTATCACCAGGTTGATGCAGCGGTTACGTCAGACAGGTCAGACGTCAGACAGGCCCAGGAGTGGAAGACCACGAGTAACCACGCCCCGTGAAATCGTTACATTCGGGTATTACACCTGAGGAATCGCACCGTAACAGCGACGTCCACGGCGGCTACAGCACTGGGACACAGGATCAGTCGACAGACAATCTACAGGAGACTACGGCAGTATGGTATCCGGCCACGTCATCCCTACCGCGAACCACTCCTGACGCCTCGACACCGGAACAACAGACTGATCTGGGCCAGGCGAGTTTGACGTTGGCAACTGCCAACGCCAACGTACAGGTTTTGCCATGGCCCGCATGTTCACCGGACATGAATCCCATCGAGCACTTATGGGACCACCTCGATCGGCAAATCCGACGTCGTCGTGTGCCTCCAGTCAACGTCCAGGACTTGGAACGATATCTCCTCGAGGAATGGCAACGCATCACTCCCAACGTCATCAGACGTTTGACGGCATCAGTCCGTAGGCGTGTATTGATGCTCACGGTGGACTTATCCGCTACTGACTGGACTTTGTGACGTATGGTGTGACATTTCCCGTTGTTTCTGTGATCAGTGCTCTAACGAAATGTTCTTTTTTCGACCCCACCCATCTTTAAAGGCTTGTCATATTGGTTGTACAGATTTTATTGAAATGAAATTTTTGTACAGATGTTGTGAAAGGATTTCTCAAAAGCATAACACCAATCCTAAACTTCTGCATTGTTTAGTTTTTCTTTTATGTCGTTGCAAACAGGTGGTATCGTTTCTTTTGGACACTAGTTTAGTATTTTCCACACTTTAAAAATATAAGCTTACATTTGTTGCTGGTGAATAATTTTAATCAAGAAATCTGACAACATACAATTTTTTAAAATCCCAACAAGTGACCTTGTGTTGTTCAAATGAAGATTATTGTTAATTTTAAACCTACTGCTCCATTCAGTGCAAGGATAAGAATCCATTGAAGTTATCATGAATAAGTATAAAGAGCTAGAACTTTGAACTTACCTAATATTCCTGCCTATGTCTGAGATCATGGCACCAGGTTTACAGGCATGTATTCCAGCATCACGACATTTTCTTGCAGCATCAACTAAATGGTGCCCAGATTCATCACAATCACCAACGATATAAGTTTCTGATAAATCACCATGATATCCATTATAGTAAACCTGTATAACCAACAGAGCAATTCAAAACAGAAATAAATATTGCATACTACAAGAAAAACAACTTTTGTTCTCAAAGATTGTCTTCATCAGCTGGAAATAAATTAATAAACTCTTTAGTCCAGTGACTGCATTTAAATTGAACTCCACCAAAATAAGTACTGTGATTGGTGTCACTAGTAAGGTACCACATGGAGATTTTTCAAGACACCTAATGCTACTCTGAGATCGGTTTGTCAACTCAGAATTCCTTTCAAACAGTCCACATCCTTGCTAAAAGAGCTATAGACATTGCCAACAGTAAACGGTAGTAAAACAGTAGTAATATTTACAGTAATATCTATATTGATGAGATCACCATTCTGTAGTGGTCTAGAATCAGGTATACCATGACAGGCTACATTATTAACAGATGTACAGACTGACTTAGGGAAATTACGATATAATAATGGTGATGGGTAACAGTTTTCTTCTAAACATTTATTATGTACAATTATATCTATATCATTTGTAGTTATTCCAACCTAAAACAAATACATGGTTCTAAAAAAATAAGAGTTACAGATTCAAATATCTTTAAAATGATACAGTATTTTAATTATTTGCTTTACCAGTTGATAGAACTCAAATTTGTGTATCACTTTCCAAAATTAAAATCTGATGGTTTTAAGCAATCCAACTAAACCTTATTGTAAGAAGTACAATTGAGGATTGGCAAAGCAAATATTTAGATGACTTTAAATGATCCGAAGATATAACTCTTTGATTTTGACATCTTGCAACAAGATTGTTTAAAGTGATACTACGTCTTAGAATACACTCGTCCTGTGGCTAATATTTGTGTTTAATAGTGACCATTGGTTAAATAAGAATCCATCCCACACTTTATCAAGTTTGAAAAAGCGACAATAAAACTATAATCAAAATTTTTTTAAAAAGTGAGCAAGCGACAAGTCCGTTTAGTTGAGAAAAAAAGAGTTTGGATAATCAACGCTAAAACAGGAAACAATCATCTTCCGGTGTATACAAACAAACTTTGCCAATGATTAATATTCGTTGAAAATTGTGTCAGTGGTGGAGTATTCATTCTAAATTGTATGAATTGCTTTTTCGCGGAGTCGCTTAATCTCCTACAAGGCATTATTATTCCGTCTTCAAAATATGTCTGACAATGTCGAGGTCAATTCAAGAGTAGAGATCAAGGATGCAGGAAACCTGACTTGAGAGTTACTTCCCCTTGAAAATTACACCGGATTTCCTAGACTCACAATCTGAAAATCGCTTAATGGATGTATTTAGCATTTTATAATTAATTACTTGATTTTGTGGATATATCGGATTATAGAGGGATTTTGATGTATAGTTAGGACACTGGATAAGTCCACTGAATGATATATACTGTTATTGGCCAAATTTGAGCAAAATTAAAATTTTATGGTCATCCCTTTAACAACCCCATTCATTTTAAAAGGCTGACTAACACAACAGGAATGATAGAATCAGGTTTATATCTCACCTCTAATTTGGAAGAAGTATAATCGAGGATCTTTCTGGCTAACTGACATGACTGTCTTAGATGTCCAATCTGGTTCTCATTTTTTATTTCAATTGTATCAATTGTCCTATAGGATCCATTATTAGTGACATAGGGAGGTTTTGGTATTGATTCGGGAACTGATAGCACAGGACTAATTTTACAGGGAAAAACTAAATTCAATGACGATGATGTTTTAACTTTCTTAAAGAATAATCGCAATGATTGGTTTTGACTTCTCCAAATTGTTTTTAATACACTGTATGATCTCCCTGCAAAATACATGTTTTATACAATAGAAATGTTATTTAGAAATAAATACCAGTCTAAATTTACTGATAAAAATGTTCGGGAAGAAGCTACCTGATATAAACAAAAACATTTTACTTTCACTTTCCGCTTCCGGTTATATGCAGGCAAAATCGCTTACAACACAGGAAAAAAGTACTCAACTTTCCTCTTGTTTTGCTTAATTTCATCTACATATATTTGCTGAAAATTAAGTAACTCTATAAAACATTATCACGTCTGAGTTTAGGTTAAAGAGGAAAAACAAAAAGGTGGAAGTCGTTCTTTTACTTTTATTGTTAGAAGCGGCCTCTCATGCAGGCATTGGTTCTCTACTACTGTCAACGTCAGTAGATTTCTTTATTAATACAGCATATATCTCTCTCATGTCACAAATATTCAAAATATGATTTTCAAGTGCATACCAACTGTCAGAATGCCTTTGGGTCCATGAATATATAAGTTTTGAAAATTTTGCACTTGAAATGAACACACTCCTCACCAAGAAATTTCGTGTGAAAATGACACACATTTTGAACTGAAATTCTCCCTCTGTAAAATCATAGTTTCAAATAATTAATTTTTCAATAGTTAGCATTTTCATCAACCCAAAGACAATCAAAGACTCTCAGAAATATTGGAGATTAATATATTTCAATTCATACAAAAATGATAGCCAAAATGTGATTTACTTGATGTGGCCAGAGAGTAGTAGGCTTAAATTTATTTTTGATATTGTATGCCAGTGTTGGTCAAATATGTAGGCCAATTGTTTCTTTTGCTTCTTCCGTCTATTTCTACTCTATCTATAGATTGTCAGTAGTTTGTCTCACTGTGTAAACAAGATTGGTGGTCAAATAGTAAACTTACTTCTGTTGAAATCATTCAAATTTGTACTTTACTTTCAGATTCTGCAAGATGCAGACATGGAAATCCTGATTTTACAGGTTGCATTGTTAACCAGAGTCCTTCTATTTACTTATAGTTTGAGGGATATAAGCTAAATGCTGCAAATGTCTTTACCATAATATTTTTTTTATATATAGAATTTGCATGAAATCTGTACAGGTTTTGTGTTGAACAAAGTGTGTTAAATCAGAATGGATTTGTCAGGTCTGCTAATTGTATTTACCAATTTGTTGTTATTAGTTGAAAGTAAAAAAGATATATATCTCTATTGTGCAGGTAGGTCTTGCAGTAATTTTCCTGAAATTAATCCATTTGAGCTCTGCTACCATAAATTCATGTTATGAGATATGTGTGTTCACTTCTGCAGTATACTTTTCCAAACAGTTACATAATATGATATATATTTGTATAGAATATTATATGTTTAAAGTGATACTGTCACCTACTTTGTTTTAATTGTCCATATCAGTTTTAAGATTTTGAATTCGTTGTCTGGTTCTCCTTTAATTTAGCAAGAACACACCATGGAATTAAATAATATTGTCACTTCTAAAACCTTATTCATATTCTCATGTGCAGATATTATTGATATCATACGTCTTCATGGTGTGTGTCCAAGAGAACAGACCAGCATATTTTAACTCTGCACACTGCAAGCAGAAATCAATCTCTCAACTTGCAAGGCAAATATTTAGACATATCATTACTTACATATCAATTATGCAATTAGCAAAATATGTAGGCTGATGCTGGCCCTACCTAGAAAATTATGATGTTTATCTATGCAAGCCTTAGAAAGTTCAGAACAGAAGGACATGACAATTTGATTCATTTCATTGATTCATATATATATTGAAGAAGAAAGGATTTGATTAAATAGTTTCAAGATAATGCTTCTTTAGTTTGTAGGACTCTAGTAGATGAAGTCAAGTGGAGTATTAGTCAGGTAGATCCTAAGAAAACAATAGAAGTTGGCAGTTTCAGAGTTGATACACATGGAAATCAAGCAAGATCAGAGGTATGACCTTACATGTACAGCTATATCTTCCCTGTCTAGATTAGGTTTTATCTTGGTTTGATTTACCTTTCCCATACATTTTGAACTTTTGAGCGGACTTTTCTTGTATGATTAAATAATATGATATAAGCTTAAGCAGTGCAAAATATTAAGGGTTTTTTTCAACAAAAGGCATCAGTTTATTATCTGGCATTGAAAGTTTTAAATCATTATTCCTGAGATGAACTTTATTTATTTATTATAGATAAGCCTTGTCTAATAGTTAAGGACATAGCAGAGTCATGCCTTAGACTCCACATACTGGTGTTTTACTTTCAGATACCTTTTGCTGGATCCCATTCTCATTTGATAGAAGTAATGGAGAGTATATGTGATAAAATGAGAGATTATGGTAAAACAATAGATAATCTGAGTAGAAATACTATGATGAGAATATATGGTAGAGAAGGTCAATCATTGTCAAGAAAAAATATTATTTCTGATTCATCTTTTACTCCTAAAATACGACGATATGTAAGATAATTTTTATACGCCCACATTTAATGGGGGGCTTATATTGCCATCACCCATGTCCGTCCGTCCATCTGTCCGTCCGTCCACAATTGCTCGTAAACACTCTACAAGACATGATTGTTTGGGATGCGATGAGATGCGATGAAGAACGATGTCATGTTTCTGAACATGAACGATGACAACATGGCGATGACAAAATGATGATGTGGCAATGTCAAGCAGACGGAAGTCCAGTTTCGTTGTCTTGGACAACCTAGTAATGTTTCGTGTTCAGTCAGATCATCGTTCACGAACATTACAGGTAGTCCGAAACACCGATCCCGAACAATGATTGTTGCTGGATTTTGACAATACTTGATTTTATTATTCAGTCCCGCGCTGAAGATTTGCCTTCTAGAGTGTTCACAAGCTTAAAATTGAACATGTGTTCAAGAACAAGGGCAATAACTCATACTCAATATTATTCAGTATCGCCCTAAAGAGTTCAAAAGAAGTGTATGACTGAAGGTTGAATATTTCATACTGGTGATTGTTACTGTACTGCTAAATATTTTTATTCAAAATCAAAGCTGCGCGTGGGCGTATATTACCTTATCTTAAAATTTAGTTCCATAAAACATGATTACCAGCTTCTGCAAGGCCCAAACTCAGTGGCATAGACCCATCTATGATTGTCGCCCATTTGTGCCCATTTGTCGGTACAGATACCCAAGTACCCATTTAAAGCATGGTTAAATCTATCCTGCCTTAATTACATCAAATTTAAGTATTCTGACCCAAAATAACTGAACCATTTTTTAAGTCTGATCTACATCATACAGGTGGATACCTTGCACTGTCACGACATATTTACCTCATTGTACAATACACCTGGTCAGGATATAAAACAATAGGATGTATAACTTATTTTCATTTTAGTGTGATACTATAATAGAAGATTTTGAAGAGGAAATTATAAAAGTATTTAAAGATAATAATATAGAAACTTTGGAGTTTGCTATTTGTACAGAAATTGTAGGTAAGTAAATGATAATAAATTAGTTATAACCAATGCATTGTCTCTTTAACAGATCCGAAACTATTTTATATTTCTTCCGTGTTTCCCTGAAGTCGGTAAACCTTATATATATATATGAGACTGAGATAAACAGTATTCATGATGTCAAACCAGCCAATCAACTCTTTTGCTGTCTGAACATATTTTTGTTTTTCGTTTTGCTAGATTTATAAACACCTGCACAAAACTCTTGAATAATATGTAGGTATGTGAAAACGGCCATTTCATTTGTCTTGGGCATGGTTTTAATGTCAATGTTACCTATGTAAACTCTCATATAGGTATGCAAAGCTGAAGAGTGTATATGTTACTTTGTTTATTACTATTTGTATTTGTAGCCCAACGCAGACGAGGAACATTTTAAGCGAACAATCGTAAAAATTTTGTTTCGATCATTTTTTTCACCGTCTGCGGATTACAGAAACACGAACAAAAATGTTTGTGAGAATTGTTCGTGAAATCAAACATGTTTGATTTTTTAAGATTGTTCGCCTCCCGAACAATTCTTTGTTCGCCGTCTGCGTTAACGACGAACATTAGCGCCGAACATTCATCGACGAAAGACCAATCAGCGATCGAAGCCAGACCACATGACACTCAAAATGGCGACGTCCAGTGAATCTACCAACACAAAATTTTGGACTGTGGAAAAGGAGCAGATTTTAGAATATATGTGGTCGCTATCTGCCTGTTTGTTTATGATTTCTTCGCCCGATTATTCAGACAGGAACAAAAAGTACGCTGCTATGCAAGAAATAGCACAATCCCTGGAAACAACCGGTAAATTTACAAGGTTGCCGAACACACCCTGCTCTTTACGACGTTGAATCCATATGGGCGTGTTTCTGTGACGACGGTGCCAACATGGCGGACAAAGAGAAATGTCAAAGCAAAGCGAGCGTCAAATTTTACCAAATTTTCAGTGAATTTGCATTCTCTTGTGGACTATAGTACATTGGTACGACAGGACATCTCGGCAATATCTGTAATAGCAGCATTTTATTTAGACCTACGATTCCAAAGCAGAGAATGTCAAACAAAATGTCCAGGCAAAACTTTGTAGCCTACTGTGTGAGTCCGTCGTCAGTGGGGACAGTAAAAAGAATCTCTTAGACCATCTCTTCCAATTTTACCAATTATTTTATAATAGATGTTCCATCCTAGACCTGTCCATTTGAGACTGAGAGACTCAAATATCCTACTTTCGGCAAAGCTAGGACAGTAGGAGATGTTTACTCGAGTGTCTGAGACAGGCATACTGTTTTTACTTGCACTTGACACACCCACTTAGGGTAGGCCCACTTTTAAATCCATGTGAGATTTGAACGACCAAAGTTGCGACTGTATTTATTTCGTGAAATCCATCGTAAGTTTTACGAACGACTTGCGATCGGTTGCAAACTCTTTTGTGAAACCGGCCCCTAATGCTCCCATTTCGCCGCCTACGTTGGCGTCTTTTTAAAATTAATAAAATAGCTAACGCAATTTTACATTTTCTTCTGGACGTCGCCATTTTGAGGTCATGTGATTTTCCGTGGCACTGGCTTATTGTTCGAGCTAAATGTTCATCGTCTGCGGAATTATGTTTGTCGTCTGCGGATAACGGATAACAAATATATTTGTTCGATGTTTTTGTTCGTCGACAGAAATGTTCCTCGTCTGCGTTGGACTTAACAAAAACCATTTCAATTTATTGGTACGGGTACATATACAGTTTTTCTTGGAACCATAGTCGTTTGATGGAATTGTAGTAAGAAATTATTTTATGTGTTCCTGACACATATAAATTTGCTAAGAATCTCTGTGAAATCTTGCTTTACTAAGTAAATGTATTTTTCATAATTTGTATAAACCCAGATGTATGTACAAGTGAGGATTTAAAGGAACCTCTACCTGTAGCAGAAGATGAGGAAGAAGTTTTATCAAAAGAAGAAGAACTAGATAAAGAATTACAAAAGGATGATGAACAGAACTATGATCAAAATGATGTAGATTTATTAGAAAAAGATAGAGAAGAGTTATAATCACTAAATATATGTTTGAAGGAATATAGTCACCTAATTAACTTCAGCTACCATCATCATCTGTCAATTTGACTTGTTTTTGCATTTAATTGCACATATATTGGACTTTTATTCGAAAACATCATATGAATTTCTAAACTTGACCTCTATTAAATTTTAAATGGAAGATAATATTCCTTCAAAGCCTTTATTTTTACAGTTTATTCTTGTTGTGTTTGATAGTGGAATGTTTTGTTTTCTATTTATGGGAGTCATTTAATCAAAGCACAAATTCATAACAAAAGTGACCGTGGTTTGGTTACCAGGTAGGCACAATTCGTTCTAGATTTCTTTAAAACTTTATGAAATTATTTATCTCCCAACGAACATAATACTAATCAAAAATCCCTATCAAATCAAAAATGTTGTATGACTAACTGTTATAGTGATTTTCAGTGTTTTCAGTGTTTAAATCTGAAGCTGTTAGTGGGCGTATATTTAGTGCATGACTAGCTATTTTTGTCATTGTTTTGAAATCCTGATTAAAGTGACTGTAAGAAATGTCTTACTTTAACAACGTAATTTTCTTGATCATAAATTACAAAAAATAAAAATCATAATAAGAAAGAATATATCCTTGTTTGAATCCTTTTTGGTTATGATGGTTTTTGGATTATCAAATTTTCAGCTGTATGACTAAATAACTATGACTGAACAAACTACATTGTATTAACTGTATAAATAATTAAGGATGATCATCAGGATTATAACAATTTCAGGACGAGCTCCTTGTTGCCTCTATGTGACCTCAACTTTCAATTTATAAAAGATTTGTGTGGAGTTACCATACATTTAGGCCTACTGAATATTGTTGTTATATTATTATTATTTGATTTGCCGATAATACTGTGTAAATGTAGTATTTGATAAAGACTAATTAGCTAAGGCTTTCTGATTACTGAAACTCATTTGTGGGTGTGTGCGTGGCGTAATTATTTAGTTTTATTCATTATTTTTAAGGGAATTCGAAGGGGAAACCTAAACAGTGGAAAAATGAACTCCATGTACAAATGTGTTAGATGTACATGCCAAGACCAAACAGCCTTTTTTGATTTCCTTAATGTGTTTGTGGTATATGTTGTTTTCTTGAGACAATAGCTGTTCTTTTCGTCAATTGATAAATGTGTTTGTGTACAAATGTGACTTTCTTTGGGTTCATCAAAACAGAAATTTGTATATGTAAGCAGATTTTTCTTGGCAAAGATGCGTCCTCTCTTAACATAATATGAAATTAATTTACCTTTAAGATGATTGTAAATTAGTGTTGGGCATCACTGTAAGTTTCGTCGTTTTGTTGTATATCTGTGACCTTTGAACTTTTGGCTGGGCGCGCAGTTTTAAATGGCCGATGCTAGAAAAACTACTTGGAACCGGAGACATGACATAAATGGTGTAGGGAAAAAATGATGGTATGGCTGAACTACAAAAAATATTCATCTTTGCAAATTTTGCAGATGCGAGGTATCTAAATAGGTTTAAAAACTCATTTAACAGGGCTTATTAATTCTATCTCTACACCAGCTGACATCTGTCCAAATTGCTATCAGAGGCTGGAAGAGACAGATGTTTCGGTCTAGTCGACCACCAGAATTGTCGCAATCCGCGACTTTATCGCTGTAGCTAGGTGTCGTCTATGACGGATCCGATGAGGTAATTACATCACCAACGGACCCGACACTTCCTTTAGTTGTTGCTGTATATAGCATCACCAGCCAAACTGAGCCCACCTGTAGTTGTTAGTGTGTTTAGCGTCTCCAGCGAACCCGTCACCGAAGTCATCTATTATTGTTAGTGTGTTTAGTGTGCCAGCTAACCCGAGCCTTCTGTTTGATTTTGTCGAGTGTGTTCGTGTCGATAAAACATCCGACCTTTCTTTCGTATCACAGCCAAACAAATGATAATTCTGCAGTCACATAGTTGGCTCAAGACCTAGATGTCCCAACTGTCTCTCGACTAACATTTCTCTGAAAAGTATATAGGCTTACACTAATTGAAAAAAAGACTCAAGTATAATTTTTTTTTTTATAAAATACATGGTAATGTTGGGATTTTGTTTTGATGTGTAGGCTTATGTTCATTTTCGATGATGAACTTCTTTTCAAGGCTGTATCTTTTCCCCTATATTAATCCACGTCACCTTTATAAATCTAAAACAATAAATTGATGGTTTTTGTATTGATTATTTTCCTTAAATTTAAAGCACTTTTTTGTGAAAAGAGAATTTGGGCTAGACCCGTACCTGTTGTCATCTTCACAATGTCAAGCTATTAGCCTACGAACTTCGCACTAATGCCTTGACTGCATTAACCACTATTCTTGTATCACGGAATGCAATGATTTGATTTGATGGTACGCCATTCAGAAACCTCGACAGAAAGACTGCAAATATTATGGTTTTTTTTTCACATAATTTGTGTCGAGGCCTCTGGTTGGCTGTCTTCGCTAACGTACAATCCAATCAAATAGCTTCATTTACAAATAGATATGATACAAGAAAGGTGACGATTACAGTCAAGGTATAGGTTGACATTGTGAAGATGTCCCGCTGTTGTTAACCAGAATTAATGCCTTGAGGACACGAGACTCCATCCTGTTTCATGCGGAGAATTAAAATTAAAATACCATACCATATAACCAAGTAATTTCGTACTTTTGTAGACCCTTCCTTTTAATCTAATCTCCTCTCATCTGTTCCATTTCTCTGCAGGTTAAAATGAAAAGTCTATATTATGACTATTACTAGTTATCATACTAATAAGGAGACTTATGTTCACAGAGAATCTGAAATGCAATATTGTGGCGTGTTCCATTAATCGGAGACTAAACATTAGAAAAATAACTGGTTTGTTCTTATATAATAGATAGATAATAATAATTTGATGCCTGAGATGTGCAGCATCAATTTTCGTAGCTAAAAGACAACAAAATTATTCATCAAAGTACAATAGCCCTATTCCTCAAGCAAGCGCAATTCGTCATTTTATCAAGAAACGAAATTTATATGGCACACTCTGATTGGTTAGAATAAATGTATTAGAACAGGCGTGCGGTAGAAAACATATTTAGATTACAATGCAGACAAGAACATAAGAATAAAAATAAACGAAATTGTAATTTAAATAGATTGGGAATATCCCAAACTGCGAAAGAGTTAAGCTTGAAAATATAGTGATTTATTTCATGAATTAAAAATCTCTTGGGTTTTTACTAATAAAAAAATATATGTACAGTACAATAACAAAAGAGTTTCACGCTACAGATCTTCAGAAAAAATGAACTATTTCAGCCTGTTTCCCTTCGACAAGTAAAACTTATTTTCGTGTCTATACACTTCGAGATAAGTGTGGAACGTGTCATGTGTGATGGAAATTTAACACTTTAGTTGGGACACGGGCTGAAATAGGTCAGTTGTCGGAAGATCATACAGCGTAAAACTCTGATTAACAACATATCTCGACATAATATCTATAACATTGATGTACTGGAACCAATATAAAGTGGTTCTAGCAATTAGGTTTTAAAAGTGACAAAACATGGCACTAATGGTCTGTTAATTTCGATAAGGTTCCATTATGAATTGATAGGCCCGACTCGTTTAACTTTAATTTTCGGCCAAGGAGTAAATAGCCCCGGATAATTCAAGAAAGATCAATGTTGATAACAGAATGTTTGAAAATGGTTGAATTAGTAGTGTCTTTAGTTCGAAACACGGGTTACCATTTTGTTTATTGTGAAGTCTAATCGGGTCCACGGCACTTTATCAATTATCCCACCATGTTGGCTTTCCTCTCCCAACCACATTGGTCACCTACAAATAATTATAATACAACTTTAGGGGAGCGTAGAGAAATTAGTTTCTAGTAAATTGTTGCCACTCACATCTGTTCGTCGCTCGGCCCATCAATCTTTACAAGGGAGGCAATGACTTAAAACTTCCTTATCTTTTTACCGAGGAAACCCTGATAAACTTTGATAAACAATGTGATGAATAAATATTTGTCACAATCTTGCAGACAAGCTCTACTTTAAGCTACATACCTCCACTCCAAAAGGATTATATGTTACTCCCGAAAATTTCTCAGCACCACTAGTTTTTCGAATACCCAAAGTTGTTTTTCTCTGGAAAAATAATCAGATTTGATTAACGATCTCAACCTATGAAATTTAACATTTAATATTTTGTAATGCTTCCGGTCTAAATTGCCATCATACTGTCAGTCGAAATCCATAATTGCAATTACAGAAATTGTATCTTAAAACAGTAAAAAGGCCAACTTCACCTTAAAGACATTTTTGACCTTCTTGATTTTTCCACCATGTTTTCTTTTTTCCTTTACATTAATGGTTACAGTTTCATTAGTTTCATCTTTCTAGAATTCAGAATAGTATAAAGGTTATCTAGATAGAACTACTTCTTCACAATGTCAAGGTATTACGATATCGGTCTAAGCACTTTTTTTTATATATATTTGTATGGAATATAGATATATTAAATTCTCGTCTGTAAACCAAAACATAAGAATAGTGCCTAATGAAGTTAAGGTTTTATACGGAGTAAATAATATCTTGAACTTGTGAAGATGATTGGACCTATAATCAGTCTTTTAACAGTTGGAATAGAAAGCCAGTACGGATCTATAAAAAAAAAACCTTGCACACTGCTTGACATTGCCGTTCCGGTTATAGTGAGGAACAGGAAAGTAATTTCTTCAAAGATCCATTTGAGATACATACACGATATTCTACACTATGTGCTGGTTTTTTTGAAGTCCTAGTTCTTGAGGACTTGGGAAGTGATTTTAGTAAGGCCTCTTTATGTTTGTCTTTCTTCAGTTCAACTATTGACACCCCACTCTCTTTTCTTTCGTTATTCTTATTTACCTAAATAAGTACAGTTATAGCATAAATACATCTTAATAAATCATAATGTAGGTGTTTGATTTTCGTCAAATAAGGTTTCACCAAGTTGACACAATAAGGCATATATTTACAAATGTATGGAGGGGGGTCGTTGAATTTCCGGATTATGTAAATGAAGTAGGTCACGTTACCTTATATGGTTAACGTTCAAGAATGCAGAAGTTGACTTTACAACTCTCAAGAATACAGTGGTCAACTTACATCTTTCACGAATGCAAAGTCAAGAAGACATAGTTGATATTGTCAATAATGCAAAGTTAAGAATTCATTTTCGTAAAGGAAAGTTTGAATGGTGTCTGATGTGAAATAAAGTTTGAAAAGTAAACTATCAATATCTCTACTTTGTAATTAGTACAGTGACTTTTTGATTTTAGGAAGGTTTATTTTTGTAATTGTGTAATGTTGAAATATGACTTTGTAAAGTCGAGGCCTTGTTTTCAAGTTTGACTTTGTAAATACTTCTGGCAACGATCCCCCTCCATACAAATGACAAGCAACAATGATATTTCATAATTTTCTTTTTTGCTCGTGTATTGTGGATGGATGGATGAATTCAACATTGCCCTATAACCGTTCTAAAGGGTAATTAAAGACAATTCTGTATGACATTGTTTAAAGAGGCGAAACGACATAGTTAAATGTATATAAAAGAGAAAAGCTAGTGCTTAGCTCATGTTGTTCTTAAAAATTTAAACAAACCTCAACGATTCCTGCCTTTTGTTGCCCAGCAGCAGAAGGTTGTTTACTTAGTTCAGCCTGAAATTATGCAAGAAGATCGGATGAAAATTCCTGGTTGCCAACCATTTAAGAGAACGGTACTGTTGTTAGCTGTGACTGATCTTTGGCAATTGTGTTAACAATTTTTTTATCACGATCAACACATCTCAACAATATTTATCCACCGTTAGGCTTTCAATAAAACTTGAAAAATGAAATGAAATGAATGGAGTTTTACGTCCTACTTTTCTACACCACAATAATACTTGAAGATAATACCTTCGGATTTTTCAACCCGGCTTCCCTCCTAAAACTCCATGATTGATTCATTCATTCACAACAATGAAACAATGGCATCATTGATGGTAAAATTTATCATTTGAGCCATTAAATTTTAAATTAATAGTAAGTATATGACTAAAATTACATCCCTTAAAATGTATCAAGTATTTACAATTCATCAAATATTTACAAAGTATCAAGTAGTTACAACTCATCAAATATTTTACAATGTATCAAGTATTTAAAAATTTATCAAGTAATCAAGAGTAAGTAATATCTTGAAATTGTTAAGATGTGGGACGGACCTATGATTAGTCTGCAATAGAAAGTCAACACTGCTTGATATTGCCGTTCCGGTTATAGTAAGGAACAGGAAAGTAATTTCTTCAAAGATCCATTTGAGATACATACACGATATTCTACGCTATGTGCTGTCCCAGATCTTGACATGTTCCTTAAAGATGGGTTTCCTTATTTTTTTTGTGTCGAATTAAGCAAACTATTTGATTAATTGGTGTTTCTAATGAATAATCATATATTCTTAATCATATCATTATGTTCTTACTGAGATTTAACCAATCATAAATGTCCATGTATGTACAGTCTGGATAAAGAAAAAAAAATAGACAGTTTGACCTTTTTGATCGATCACTCATTGCAATTCTGCTGGTAATTCTCTTCTAATTTAGCTTATTATGAATTGATTATGGACATATGACACAAACTGGTATTTTCCAAGTCATTAGATCACATCTACTTTCTATTCATATAAGTATTAGCATTTTCATTTTCATAAATGAAAATAAGGGAACCCATTTTTAAGCAATCCATGGATAATATCGTACCGTTGCTAAAGGAACATGCGATCTTGAGGACTTGGGAAGTGATTTTAGTAAGGCCTCTTTATGTGTGTCTTTCTTCAGTTCAACTATTGACACCCCACTCTCTTTTCTTTCGTTATTCTTATTTACCTAAATAAGTAGTTATAGCATAAATACATCTTAATAAATCATAATGTAGGTGTTTGATTTTCGTCAAATAAGGTTTCACCAAGTTGACACAATAAGGCATTTATTTACAAATGACAAGCAACAATGATATTTCATAATTTTCTTTTTTGTTCGTGTATTGTGGATGGATGGATGAATTCAACATTGCCCTATAACCGTTCTAAAGGGTAATTAAAGACAATTCTGTATGACATTGTTTAAAGAGGCGAAATGACATTGTTTAAAGAGGCGAAACGACATAGTTAAATGTATATAAAAGAGAAAAGCTAGTGCTTAGCTCATGTTGTTCTTAAAAATTTAAACAAACCTCAACGATTCCTGCCTTTTGTTGCCCAGCAGCAGAAGGTTGTTTACTTAGTTCAGCCTGAAATTATGCAAGAAGAACGGATGAAATTTCCTGTTTGCCAACCATTTAAGAGAACTAGTACCCTAGTAACGTACCTTTAGTGCCTTTAAGTTGTTGAAGCGATGAAGATTCTGCTGAATTAACTTGGGTCGAATTCTTCATTTTCTCTTCATTGGGCGTCGATAATTTCCAGTTTAACATTATTATTTGTTAAATAGTTCAATATAAACAGTAAAAATCTGATGATTTTAGTAGAGAACGTTATATTACATTCTAGAAAACTTAGTTATAAGAATAGAATAACATCATACATAAAAATATCGTCATAATAGCAAATTGAAACACCAATTTGTCCTCCAATCCGTAATTTACCATATCCCCCAGTTTTAGTTCCAAGGGTTTTTCAACATCCAATATGACAAAACATTTTGCAGAATCTCAGTTAAAAATATTCAACCCTAAGACACCATTGTAGTTGAAGCAATTACTATCTTCGCAAATAAACTATACCGAAGTAAACAGATCTATTTCAATGTTAGCACTGTTGATAATTTGAGGGCGCTGGAATTATATAGGACTTTTCTTTTTGTACCTTTTCCTCCCTGCTGCCCTAACCTACGAAATTCACCTCTACCGTGAAAATATCAATGTTATTATTTTTCAATTTTAAGAGGAGAAGTATACTGTAGTCTTGTGTATAATACTGAAAACAAAACCGGAACCCCCTAAAATTAACACCAATAGCACATAGGTTGTTGGTTACAGAAACAGAAGACGACGAACTTTATTCACATTAATATATATACCGTACTCTATTATTTTAGGATTTTTTCATTTGTAATAAGTTTTACTTTATAATTCAATTTCCTTACTTTATAAAAATCACGTTGATGTAGCTGAATTTTCACCTTGGCCTGTGCTTTCGTTGTTGTTGTTACAACCCCTCTTACCAATAGCACCCGTGCGATCGATAGAATACCACATTGTAGAAAATAAGTGAAGTGCGATTGAAGCAGATTCATGAATCATGCTATATTTTACAGAGACAAGTCAACCCTTTCTATATATTATTTTCTTTACAATCACCGGGAATTTGAAACAATAAATTCAATAGCATAGAATTTTGTACATACCACCAAATTATAGAGTTCTTCAAATGTATCCTTTATCATTTGTTCATATATTAATACATTCCATTCTTCTTGATCTAATGTTTTCCCTTTTTTTACTTCTGGCTTTATCCTGACTGGTCCTTTCTTTTGAACAAATGGCTGGTTCTGGAATTTAAATGAAAATACAAGATAATAACCATTGATGTATTGATACTCATACAGTATCAAAGTGGACGGTAAGTTCAAAGCAATCCAGATGATGATTGAATAAAAACTAGTCAAAACTTCAATTCAATAAAAGACAAAGTCTGAAATAGATCAACTGTCTGATAGGGTAAAACTCTGAGTAACAACAAACTTCAGGTTCTGTTTTAAAGGGATAGATTCCCGATTTTCGGGGGTTGATTTGGGTCTTGAATAATGAAAATAGTCTTCAGAAATACTAATAACAATTTCAGAATTCCTTAAAATAGGAATTTCATTTTTATCTATCTATCTATAGCAGAGTCTTAATAAAAGGTGAGTCGTCATTTTAACTTTTACACGCGGATAATTTTGGACACACATAGATTTGAAAGCTGAGATTTCGACGGTAAGCTGAGAGCAATATTACTGATCTCGTTTCTGAGACAAAGGTACGATTGATATTTCTTATCATAAGTAGATAGAAACATTGCACTATTGTAAAATACCAATCTAAAACATATCAAAGTTAAGTAAACTTAATGGAGCTATAAGATGCACTATCATTATGTGCAAGTTTTAGATTATGACATACAGATTATTTATATTTTACATAATATTGAGTAACAAAGTGACAAGGACAAGTTTAATTTAATATCAGAAACCTTTCTCTAACAATTGACAAAGCGAGTGTACCATTAAACTGCATACATTAGGAAATATTGCATGTGTTATGATTTGCAGCTTTAGAATAATATTTTGTGTTTTAACTTACATAGATCTGTATAAGCCTTTTGAATATAAAGGAACCAAATTCATTTTTAAAAGCTTCTCTCAGACGTTCTTTCTTCCAGCGATCGGGCTTTCTTTCTTAAAAAAAAACCTTTATTTATTTACTACGAAACGTTTCGCGGTTCTAATATGTCAATATGACAACTCGGATAGAAAAGAAAAGTACATATTTGCAATACATTTATTCAGAAGAAGTAAATAAAATGTGTAGAATTATGATCTATGCTGATAAAATCCAGATTATATAGAGATATTAGGCTACTCGGTTAGATAATATCATGTCGTTTCAACAGTTCTTTGAAATAAATAATAAAGAACTTACTACTTTGGTCAACAAAATTAACAACGAAATATTCCGGCTCTTCTTTCTCTTTTACATCTTGCATATCTAAATGGATTTTTTTTTAAATCCTTATTGATTTGTGTTGGCTACAATAAGCTTTTTGGTGGTTCTAGAATAGAGACTGTTGTCTCTTCATTTGAATTTTAAACTAGATGGTCTATGCATTGTCTAGTTGGACAATTCATTTTTGACTAAACTTAGGTGTAACAATCTGATTAAAAGGATGATCTGTATTTTTTTTTGCTTTGTTTGCCAACCAACAATGTTTTGTAATTTAGCATAAAGTTTGACACAATTTAGTTGAATTATTGACTAAACTCGAATCAATGCAGCCACCCACAGACATCTAAAAATTAGACCAATCTTTTGTTCCGTTATTTTTTTAGTAGCATTTATTTTTAAAATAATCAGCTTGAACTTTTGTTAAATTTACCTTTTGACTGCGTCACAAATGCCAGCGCTGGGGTGGGTAGAAATTTGATTGGTTAAAAAAGCAGACGTCACATTAACCTTTTGAATGTTCAAGAGGGCTGTCGTTAGACCCTAACTGAAGTGTTTATATCAAAAATAGAAGCTAATTATACATGGAACGAAAGTTTGGTCTAATTTTGATTAGACTGCAACTATCCTAGAAGAAAACTAACCAGCAAATAGAGACGGTTAGATGTTCTAACATTTACAAATATTGGAGAACCGCTTCCTCCCTACCCACTCCTTCTCACCTAAGATACATACCAATATTTGCCATATTATTGCCCAAATTACATGCAGCATTTTCTCCCAGTGTTATATTAATATTACCACCAAGATTCGGTATTCCTGGTAGACCAGAACCACTTGGGCCTGAAAATTTAACATTGCAATTGCTCAATTACATTCCTAGTCCTTATATAGAAAAACACAATAAAGGAATTTATACTCGATTTCTTGTTGTTTTATCATTTTCATTCATACAAAAAATGTCGACCATTGGGATCGTTCAAAATGAATGAGCCTGTTTGGGTGAAATGCAGTTTCCTTTTGATTGAATTGTAGACAAATAATACTGAATTGTGATTGGTTTGAATGAATGGACGATTTCCTACGCTCTGTGGTCAAAATTCTTGGCATTAAATTTACATAATCCACCATTACTTTCAAAATCATTTCTTCCATTTCAACAATGAAGACTTTGATGATATAATGATTTTAAATATATTGTACGCCTACCTTGATTTCTGCCAACATTATTTATTTCATTTGCTTCTACCTTTAACACTGAAAGACAAATTCCAATGGAAGAGGTACCGAAATGGTAATGACAAATTTTAATATATAAATTTAAGGCTCGACCCTTTCCAATAGAGACCATGACTTTTGACTTATTTTTGCAATGTCTGAGATCTACAAAATATTGTTGGTTTGAACCTCTATAAAACACAATGTGCACTCTTTAGAGAGAATCTGCTCTCCAAAGATAAAGTAAGATAATTAAGTTATTTGGTATCACGAAATGTACTTACGATTTTCAATAACGTTGTTTTTATTACCAGTCTCAAATACAGCACGTTCTTCCATTTTGACTGTCAATTTACTTTCTGACATAATGATACAAAAGGTTGAAGATTTGAACAACTATTGTTTCGCAAAAAAAATGGTTGAAACCATTGAAAATACAAGTTGTACACAAAATATGTTCCGTTAAACAATCTTCTTGAAGTTACAACCTCTGGGATTCAAAGTTATCTGCATTTGTATCAAGAATACGAGACGATACTTTCTATTTGCATCTATTTTCTAAAGCCAATTATGTGTTGCGATAATGGCGTAAAAATCTGATGATGAAGAAAATTTTAATTTTGAAAATCGGAATTTAAAATTTCCACTTCCTTCCATTACAATCTCAAAAATGTATAAAAAAATTAATGATAAAAAAATCCAACCTTTACCACTTGTAGGTCTTTCGGGGTCATGTTCAGTTGTTCCTCCAGTATCAAAAGCTATAATATATACAATGCTTCATAAACATAATCTTTTTGAATGAAATTATATTTTATTCAGTGTACCGTGATTGTAATGATACTGTGAACTGTAACTTATATTTACAAAGACCTAAGAATTTATTATTATGTCACCCTACACAACATACTAATCCAAGAAGCCTACATATTCAAAATCACTGGAAATAATAAATCAGAAGAAAATTGGTCATTCAAAAAGTTAATATACCACAACAATATGGACACAAAGTAAATATACCACAACAATATGAACAAAGTAAATATACCACAACAATATGAACAAAGTAAATATACCACAACAATATGAACACAAAGTAAATATATCACAACAATATGGACAATAAGAAAATATACCACAACAATATGAACAAAGTAAATATACCACAACAATATGAACAAAGTAAATATACCACAACAATATGAACACTAGAGCCACTCGTGGCACAGAGTGGGACTTTGCAAATGTTGCAAAATGCAAAAGACCCTGAAAAAATCAACCTTCGACGATAATTAGATCAAGCGCAAGAACAGTAATGTCAATAATGAGAAATTTCACCCGGAAGTGCCACGCCCACCTCAATTTTTTTGAATAGGTTAATTAATATTCAAAATGTTACGTTATATTCCAAATGTCAAGTTCCTACATAATAGAGGTCAAAAGATATAGGTCAACAAAAGTCAACAAAGATCAAAATCGAAAAATGAAAATATCCAAATGTTAAAACCCGTTCCTTTTTTGAAACTATAAAGCTGAAACAACTGAGCTGTTAACACAAACTGGCCAAAAGAATGAGGTAATTGTGTGCAAAGTCTCTTTTTGAACAAACACATCCTATGCGAGTTACGCCCCAGCCCCAAAATGTAAACAATTAGTAATTCATCCCGGATGTGCCACGCCCACATAATTTTTTTTTTGTCATAGGTGAATTCATATTCAAAGTGTCTAGTTGTATTCCAAATATCAAGGTTCTACATCAAATAGATCATAAGATATACATACACCAAGCTCAAAAAGACGCAAATATTGTAAAAAAAACCTCAAATTTGAAAAATCACGAATTTCAATTTTGCTTTAAAAGAACGATTGTTATATATCTATGTAAAGGGCATGAGAAGCACATTAGGAAACCGAAAAAATTAACCCTCTAGGTTAAGTAGGTCACGTGCTAGAGCAGTCCAAAGTTGCGAATTTGGCTTTTTACGGATAGCTATAAAACCGGAAGTACATGTCGGAGGTCAAAGGTCAAAGTATCAAATGATAGCCAAGGTCAATGACCTTGAACCTATGAAGGTCAAGGTCATCAAAGGTCAAGGTCACATGGTGTGATCGTTTAAAGCTTTAAAAAATTTCAACCGGAAGTTGCAAAAAAGCAAAAGCGAAATTCAAAATTCGGCTCCCAATGTTTTTTGCGCAATCGATTGCAGAATACATTCACATCANATTTGAGCATATCAACTTTTACCCTGAGGCCCCATTTTGAGTTTTACAAAAGTGTGTTTTTTCAATATGGCGGCCAAAGTATCACTTCCAGTCTGGATTTTATTTTAAAATCGGCCATAAAATTTTATTTGCCAAAGATCAGCCAAATTTTGTTGACTTACATAAATTATACCGGAAGTTATTCAACCGGAAGTAGATTTGAAGTTCAGTCGCTTTCCTGTTGAAAATCGGAAATGACGTAAAAAATTTGACTGTATCATATTATTAACATTAATGAAGTCTCTTTGCATTTAAAATTTCAGATCAATCGATGCAAAAGCAAAAAAGTTGCAAAAAAATCGAAATATTTGATCGAAAAAAGTGAGCGACGAATTTTCGAATTTCGTAATTTTTCAAGTGCTATCAGGTCAGAAATTACAGGTAGATTTTAAAAATGAAAACCCGAAGAAAATCGATGCAAAAATGCGCCTTCTAGAGCCGATTTTCGACTTTTTGCACATGTTGAACTGTGGCACTTCCGGTTTTGCAAAAATGTTCCAATTTATATTTATGCACATCGTCACCTATATAGAAGGTCTATGAAATTTGAAACGTTGCTGCAACTACTGCAGTCTAAGCTCGGGAAGGTGTGGACG